ACCATAGCAACTGACTCTGGAGAATCTACTGCTCCATTTACTACAACTGAGTCAACATCCTATGAATCTCCTAAAACAATTCCAATACAACGGAKAACAACAACGACCCCATCGGGACCTTCTTCTGCCATTACTACAACTCTTTCCGAAGAATCCACCCCTTCATTTGCTACGACTGAATCCACAACCCGTGAATATCCGAAAACAAGTGAACAGAAAACTACCACGACTGAACCTGACACTACATCTCATAGACCATCATCTGGTACAACAATAGCATCTGATTCTAGAGAGTCTACTTCACTTACTACAATTGAACCAACAGCTTATAAATCGCCCCAAACCATTCCCATAGAACGTATAGCAACAACGACCCCATTGGTGCCTTCTCTTGCTATTTCTACAACACCTCTTTTTGATGAATCAACTCCTCCATTTACAACATCTGAGTCAGCAACCTATAAATATCCAAAAATAATTCCTATTTCAACAACGCCGTCAGCTGTGTATCCTGACAGCACAACACCTTATGACATTTTAGGTAGAACTACGTTAGGCTTAAGCTTAGAGAAAACGACGCAAACAAGTTATGCTTCTGCTAATGCCACAGACATGACCCCGACAGATGTTGACGTAACAGAGACTTTAAATAATTGTACGATACCAAATGATTGCTCGGACGATGAAGTATGTGTGAAATCAAATTGCATTAGACCCTGCGAATATTACAATAACCTATGTAGTGTCGCAAATTATACTGTTTGTCGTACTTTGAACCACACCGCTATGTGCTATTGTGATATCGACGCCGATGTAAATAAACCCGGTTGCTCTATTACTGCAGGTAACTAAAGCTGTGTTTGTAAATGTTAAGTCTAAATATTGATCCACGTGTTCCTTATAAATTGAATGAGTTGCAAACCACATGGTTGTGGTGATTTCTTTTTGAAATCCGTGGCTCCAACTACCTTAATCGCCAATGCATCTGGCAATACGTAGCAGCCTACTTCAAACTGATGTCATATTGTCTACTTTATATCTTTTTATGGACTTCTTATCATATCTCCTTCCACTTGTGCCATAACTGACCAGTCGAACCTGTTGGCTGGCACGTGCATGTTTTATTATCTTTTTATTTCGTTCGGTTCCTTGCAATTCAATCCCAGTGCTTTTTGTGCGCCAATATGATGGCCATCAGAAAGCTTACTCTCTACTGCATTTGTACTTTTCCCCTCGGCTCTTATCACTGGCTCTTCGCTGTTATTCGTATATGTATGTATATGCCTGCACTCACCACAACCACCACGCATCACCAAAAAATACCACTCGGATTTCCTCTGGAACTCTATGTATGTGTTCACAAATGGAGCAATAAATGTATTCACCAAAGTTTGAATGCCAACTAAATAGAGCTCACTCTTTCTAGTTCCTGTTCTTGTTCATGTTAGTTGCCTGCTTACGTTTGCCTGCCTGCCTGCTGCAAGTACTACGTGTATCATCAAGACCTATATCATATAGCATTATGTTGAATGTCTCTCAGAATGTTTCGTTTCGGACTGTGCTCGATGTGCATGTTATATGTCAGTGTTACGATCTCATCATCTTTGTGTAATACAAATAAGAAAATATGTGTTGATTTTTGTTGTATTTAGTACATATGTTTGTTTGTACATACATATTCATATACTTTATCGAATTGTACACATAATTGCGTACAGTACATTGTATTTATTTGTATATACTAGTATAATTAATCAACTGCATGACTGGTGACAGTACTAATCGGTGTTTTATTATCTAAGGCTTACCTAAAACTGCACTAACCTCCAATAATCGTATCCTTATTGCTTGCTTGCTTGCATGTGTATATGTTGTTTTGCGAAAACATTAAAAAAGGAAAACAACAACAGCTAAACAATAACATAACAAAATACTTTAATGATAATTATATTTACTTAGATGTGCTAGAATGTGCCTCAAATAGGTGCATAAGAGAATCAAATATTTGATATATAATCATAATGTACTAACAGTATTGAAACAAGTCAAGAAAAACTACCTATCAAACAGGTTTCTTAAAGAAAATAAACACTGATAATATCAATTAAACATATCCTAACGAATGTCTCAACCGAAAATCTTATCTTATACCTTAATTAATTCAAACAATTTGCTTACTTTGCAACGCTAATCCCAAATCCAATATCAGAAATTGGTTGTGCCTCAAGCGATGAGTGCCCGACTCAACAGGCCTGCGTGAATGCACTTTGTGTGGATCCCTGCGCCTATGAGAATCCCTGCGGCCGCAGTGAGGATTGTCGAGTTATTGCCCATCAACCTGTTTGTGCTAGCGGTGCGTTTCTTAGAAATTCAGCCAATCGATCAATATAAACAATATTTCATACTCCCTCTATATATTTATTGACTTACAGTCTGTGAATGCCAACGTAAATCTGATTGTCGGAAAGGTTTCGAGTGTGATGGATGTTACTGTCGTGACAGTAAGTGCAATTTGAAAGTGCATAAATTTTGGAATTGTGATTATTAATTTAAGATATTACAGCAACAGGACGCACACCTGGCTGCGAGCACTGTCCGCCAGGTGCAAAGTGTGATCCCACAACTGGTGCCTGTATTAAAGGTATGTTTTGACTTTCAATTAAATCTACATAACTATGGTGTGTTCAGCGTTAATCATACATAGGCATTGCCTAAGCACTAACAAGTGTAAATATAATACCGTGTACATATTTGTATTATAAAATAACCACCCTTTACCCATGTAAATATGTCTCTCTCCCTAGCTAATGTAACAATAACAACTAGTACTACCATGAAAACCACAACGAAACCAACAACAACATCCATACAAACAACAACAACAACAGCTAACCCTATCACTGGCGACGATATGTCGCCAATCTCAAGCAAGGGTACCACCACTAGCACCACCACCACCACCATAACCACCATCATTACTAGCACAGAAATAAGCACTAACAAGACAAGCACGAGTAAGCCCGACATTGAAACAACGACCATGAAATCGGGTCACACGAAAGGCTATCGGGATGGTGAGAACAATATAACTGATACGCCAACGCCAAGGCCGGTGCTCACAACGACCACACTGACCAGCCGAGATAGTGGCAGGCGCACCACAACACCAAAAATGAAAACAACTCGACTGGATACCTCAAACGAGATCCCAGACACAACAACGATGACCAGCACGACGCCTTGGCCGACGGAGCTACCGACTAGAGCGGGCACAACAACGGAGGTCTACGATCTAATCACAATGCAAACAACAACTGCCTCTACTCCGCTGGCCAACACAACAGCTATCACAGTTATTAACCCATGTACAATAGATACTAACTGTGCTCCTAATGAGCACTGCAAACTGGGGCAATGCACACTGAAAGGTATATACAATTGTCTATTGGAGAGATTATGCTGTCGTCACTTTCGGTACCCAATATGTTGTTGCCAGGCCCTTAATATTTAGAATTCCTATGTAAATATTTCAAATAATTTTATTCTTAATGCATTTCATACATGTACATACATACATGCATAGGTACCAAAGTGACAACTGTGCATTTTAGCTTCCTAAATAGTGCAAAGTGTAAAGTGAAATACCAAAAGTACTCTGGCAGTTAATTAACATGAGCAAAATGATCGACAAATTTAACATGGTAAACTTAATTTTTAACAAAAACATTTGACCCACTCGCTTATATTAAATTGGCTGCCAGGGTATGCAATCTGTAAATATTTGAGCAAATACCTGATAGATATATACAAATATAATACTATATGTGTATATTTCTTTGTTTATTGTACATATGATCTCCTCGGACTGCTGTCCTTAACAATTTTATATGCCAATCATATGTTAATCAATCGACTCAATTAATCAAAATGCTAACTAACTTAATAATTTCTAACAAGTAGAACCGTCAGGCACACCAAAAACACACGAACCCTGCCAATCGAACAATGATTGCATTGAAAGCGAAGCTTGCTACATGGGTTTGTGCCACGATCCCTGCGAGTTTGCGAAGATCTGTGCTGCCACGGCCAAGTGCACGGCAAAGAGTCATCGACCCATTTGTAGTTGCCCGCAGGGCCACGAGGGCAATCCGATGGTCAAGTGTGTGCCAACGCAAAAGTCAAGTAAGCAACTAATGTATTAATCAACAATTTCATTCATCAATCGAATTTAATCCAACTAAGAAGATCTAGTCAAACCTTTAATAAAAAGAAAAAATGAGATCATATTATACTCAGGCTGTGCATTTTTTCACAGTTGAATGTACTCACAACTCCGATTGCGGAATCACAGAAGCCTGCATCAATGAGCGCTGCCAGCATCCTTGTGATGTGCACAATCCGTGTGCCCAAAACGCGGTTTGTATCAATGCTAATCACGCAGCCGACTGCAGCTGCCAGGATGGCTATCAGGGCAACGGGCTGGTTGGCTGTCAGCCAGGTGAGTAATATAATATTTCCGGCACTTTTTGCACTGTTGCTCATCCTCAAGTTATAGTGTGTCCATTCTAATATAACACAAAATGTTTCAATTCCCAAATGTATCTCTCTCTCTCTCTATTTCATACACTGTACAAATTCCCCGTACACCTGCCAACACTTGTATAAAATTTGTACCGCCCCGACTCACGTACAAAAACAACAACACGAAACGAATTATAAATACACGAATCAAATCGCACCGTAACCCTAACCAAAAATACCATAGCACGCACCCACGTCTGCCAATACAACGAGGATTGTCCATCAAATAAGCTGTGCGACCGCCTTAACCGACGCTGCATAAATCCTTGCCAAGAGGATTCGTGCGGAGAGAACGCTGAGTGTGTGCCGGTCAACCACGGCATCAACTGTCGCTGCTTGCCCGGATATTTGGGCAATGCATACGTTCTCTGCCAGCAGTCCCTGGGCTGTCGCTCCGATTCCGAGTGTGATGCCAGTCAGGCGTGCATCAATGGCAAGTGCTCATCGCCTTGTCAATGTGGTGCATTTGCTCTGTGTGATGTAATTGACCATCGAGGCGTATGCAAGTGCCCACCTGGGTACAATGGTAATCCCGAGGTGGGCTGCAGTCCACCACAGAATCCGTGCGATCCCAACCCATGTGGCCTGAACGCTCAGTGCGAACTGGATAATGGAAATCCTATCTGCTTCTGCCCCAAAGGTCTCACTGGTAACCCCTTCAAGAATTGCAGTACGTATTTTGTGTCTTGACAATCATCAGGAAGAAAACCGAATATTTAAACATTCCTCATTTTCAGTTCCTGAGGGAGACGAGTGCACACCCAACCCATGTGGACCAAACTCTGGCTGCCGCCGGGTTAATGGTGCTCCCGTTTGCTTCTGTTTGCCCGAATACGAGGGTCAGCCTCCACAAATACCTTGCGAGCTTCCATCAAATCCATGCGAGCCTTCGCCTTGTGGTCCCAACACGCAGTGCGCTGTTCTGAGCAACGGATTCTCGAAGTGCACCTGCCTGCCCGGCTATGTGGAGAGTCCTAACACTATTCGCGGCTGCGTCGAACCGATCAATCCCTGCGAACCAAATCCTTGCGGCACTGGTGCCATCTGTGACTCATCGCGTCAGCCCGTCTGCTATTGTCCGGATAACAAGATTGGAAATCCCTTCAGGATTTGTGAGAAGCCAGCCGTTTCCATTGAGCTGTGCCAGCCAGGTCCATGTGGCCGCAATGCTGACTGTTACGTGGCGGGCAATCGCGAGGAATGCTACTGCCGCTCTGGCTACGCTGGAGATCCCTACCAGGGCTGTATTGAAACAAGTCGAACTGTGTGCGACCCTAATCCCTGCGGACCCAATGCTAACTGCGTTGTTGCTGGTGATGGCCAAACTGCTTGCGTCTGCCCCGAGGGCTTGTCTGGCGATCCAACATCCCTTTTGGGATGCCACGGCTATGAATGTCAAGTGGATGCTGATTGCCCACAGAGCAGGGCCTGCATGGGTTTCCGTTGCTACGATCCTTGCCCCGGTGCATGCGGCTACGGAGCCAATTGCCGTGTGGAACAACATCATCCCGTTTGCTCGTGCAATGCTGGCCTAACAGGTAATCCTGGCGTGCGTTGCTTTGCTCTGGACCAGCCTAAGGGCAACCCTTGTGTGCCAAGTCCATGTGGCCTGAACAGCGAATGCAAGCTGCTGAATAATCGGGCTGTGTGCTCATGCCTGCCTGGATACTTGGGTGATCCTAAATCCGGCTGCCAGCCGGAATGCGACATTAACTCCGATTGCGGAGAATCGCTCTCCTGTATCAATCACAAGTGTGTGGATCCATGTGCCGGCACCATCTGCGGCATCAATGCCATTTGCAACGTCCGCCAACATACACCAGTGTGCCACTGCCTCGACGGATTCGCCGGAGATGCGTTCCTACAGTGTGTGCCGATAGGTATCTTAAAGAACATCTCCCGTGATCCATGCGCCCCGTCACCTTGTGGACCAAGTGATGTCTGCTCTGTATATGGCGATGGTGTAGCACTGTGTGATCCCTGCTTTGGGCCCAATGCTCAGCAAAACCCGCGTTGTCGACCGGAGTGTGTTACCAATTCGGACTGTCCATTTGACCGCGCCTGTTTGGGACAACGCTGCTTGGATCCCTGCCCCGGCTCGTGTGGACGTAACGCGATTTGCAACGTCTACGAGCACAACCCAATATGTACTTGCCCCGCTGGACTCTTTGGCAATCCCTACGAACAATGCGCCCCACCCTCCCCAATCGTACCAACCCCAACGGCTAGTTGTGCCAAGCTGCAGTGCGGACCAAACGCCGATTGCAAACGCCAAAGTGGCGGCTTGGCCTGCATTTGTCGCAAGGGCTACTTTGGCAATCCCTACATCGGCTGCCGCCCCGAGTGCGTGCTCAACAGTGACTGTCCCGCGGACAAGGCGTGCCTCAACTCCAAGTGCGTAGACGCTTGCTCGGGTGTTTGTGGCATCAATGCCGTGTGTCGCGTCGTCAATCATGCACCGGTTTGTGTCTGCGCCGATGGCTTTAGTGGCGATGCCTTCCTGTCTTGCAGTCCCTATTATTTGCCGCCACCTACCGAAAGTCGCAATCCGTGCGAGCCCTCACCCTGCGGTCCCAACTCAAGATGCTTGGCGTCCGCAGATGGCTATGCCGCTTGCTCCTGTCTGCCCAACTTCAAGGGCGCACCGCCCGTCTGTCAGCCGGAATGTGTGGTCAGCTCGGAGTGCGCTCCCAGCCAGGCGTGCATCAATCAACGCTGTGCGGATCCCTGCCCTGGCACTTGCGGCATCGGAGCGCGCTGTGAGGTACTCAATCACAATCCGATTTGCTCGTGTGAATCGCATTTCGAGGGTGATCCGTTCGTGGCTTGCTCGCGCGTACCAGAACCGCCACCGGATGGCAAATCTCCACAAAATCCTTGCGTGCCATCGCCCTGCGGTCCCAACTCAATCTGCCAAATCAAACAGAATCGACCGGTCTGCTCGTGCGTTGCCAACTATATAGGCAGTCCGCCATATTGCCGACCCGAGTGCACCTTGAGCAGTGAGTGTCCCGCAGACAAGGCATGCATACAGGAGAAATGCCAGAGCCCGTGTACCAACACTTGTGGCCACAATGCCCGCTGCACGGTCGTTGCGCACTCGGCGCATTGCAGCTGCGACACAGGTTACGAGGGCGATGCCTTTGTGGGCTGCTCAAAGGTCATAACACAGAGTAAGTTGAAAATGGTTCCCTGATAATATGTTGCCTAATATGACATCGTTGATCTATTGCAGAACCAGATGATCACTACAATCCCTGCTATCCGAACCCATGCGCCGAGAATGCAGTGTGCACGCCCCATAATGGAGCCGCTCGCTGCAGCTGTATTGAGCCCTACTTTGGGGACCCGTACAGCACTGGCTGCCGACCGGAATGTATCTACAATTCGGAATGTCCCTCGTCATTGGCCTGCATTAAGCAGCACTGCCGCAATCCTTGCACCGGCGCCTGTGGCCCCAATGCCGAGTGCGCTGTGGTCAACCACCTGCCCACATGCAGTTGTACGCGCGGCTTCGAGGGCGATCCATTCGTGGGCTGCAAGCGCACTCCTGTGGGACCAATCAGCGTCTGTGAGCCCAATCCGTGCGGACCGAACAGCATATGCCGCACAATCGAGGGCCACCCCACATGCAGCTGCCAGGTCGGCTATTTTGGAGCACCACCCACATGCCGGCCCGAGTGCGTGGTCAGCTCTGAGTGTGCACAGAACTTGGCTTGCATCAATCAAAAGTGCGCCGATCCATGCAGTGGCACATGCGGCTTCAATGCCAAGTGCCAGGTGAACAATCATAATCCAATATGTACCTGCCCCAAAGACTATGTCGGAGATCCATTTGAGCAATGTGTGCCCAAACGTAAGCCACGCCAAACTAAAACCGAGTCAATTCAATATGTCTCAACGTATTTTCCACTCTTCTTGCAGCTGCTGAACGAATACCGATTGTGAATCCCTGCCTTCCCAATCCGTGTGGACCAAATGCCTTGTGCCGCGACATCAACAATCGCGCCGAATGCTCTTGCGCGCCGGGCATGTTCGGAGCGCCGCCCAACTGTCGACCCGAGTGTGTTATTAACCAGGACTGCCCCTCGAACAGAGCGTGCATACGGCAACGCTGCGAAGATCCTTGCGTTGGCACCTGCGGCTTCAACGCGCTCTGCACCACACAGAACCACCAGCCCAAGTGCAGCTGCCTTGATGGCTATGAAGGCGATCCATACACGGGTTGCAACATGCATCAAAGTGAGTCCATTCCTTTCGATTATTTGCTATCCTTTCCACAAAAACAGTTAAACTCCTTTGTTTCAACTGTAGCGCCTATTGGCTTCTTAATGTTAAATGTTTTATTTCAGTGGTATCTTAGATAAAGGGGCATCTGGTTCTATAATTATGCATGTTTTTCTATTGTGTACATACGCTCTCCATACTATTTCACCATTTACATATTTCTTGTACCCATGAACATGTCTAAAGGCTATTTCTGTGATAAATTCAGGTTTTTTTAATTCCACGCCAAAGAGATTTATAATTGAAATCTATAAAATTAAGAGTGATTTCCTTTCAGATGTAGACATGGGTACAGGAGGTATTATATTACATATTATATATTTCACAACTCTGGGAAAATCCAATTTGTATTTATTGTATTGTATTTACACTTCTAGTCTTAAGCATCCTACTCTGTATATGTATGTATATCTTTAATTTATTGTATGCATTATCTACTCGCTTCCCACATCTATGCCTACTTTCGTGTGCTCATAATTCAGTTGTGGTACCCGATGTACCCTCTGATCCATGCTATCCATCGCCTTGTGGTGCAAATGCCGTTTGTCGCGAACGCAACGGTGCTGGCTCATGCAGTTGCATTCAGAATTATTTCGGAGATCCATACATCAATTGCCGACCCGAATGCGTGCAGAATAGTGATTGTCCCGGTAGCAAAGCCTGTATCAATATGAAGTGTCGCGATCCCTGTGCGAATGCCTGTGGCTTTAATGCAATTTGTCGCGTTGCTCACCATCAGCCCGTGTGCAGCTGTGAGCCAGGCTTTACAGGCAATCCCCTACGTGCCTGCGTGGAACGGCCCACAAGTATGCAGCCCCAACTAAATAATAGAGAGTCTCTTAATAAGTTAAGCTTCCTGATTTTAGACATGTACTTACCACTGCCCAAAGATCCATGCAGACCCTCACCCTGTGGCCTCTTCAGTACTTGCCAAGTGGTTGGTAGCCGTCCAGTCTGCGCTTGTTTGCCCGACTATATGGGCAGTCCACCCAACTGCAAGCCCGAGTGCTTGACAAGTGCTGAGTGTGCCCCAGATAGAGCCTGTGTCAATCAGAGATGCCGCGATCCCTGCCCCGGCACATGTGGCTACAATGCGCGTTGTCGCACAACAAACCACGCACCCATCTGTAGCTGCTTTGACGGCTATACTGGGGATCCCTTCCATCAGTGCTTGCCACAGCAAAGTAGGTCGCCCCCAAATACTCAGTTAGAAAGCAGCAATTAAAATGTTTCAATCTTACCATGCTTGTAGAGCCAATAGTCGTACCAGATCCCATAAGACCCTCAAATCCTTGCGTGCCATCGCCGTGTGGTCCCAACTCACAATGCCAGGTCTCAAGTACCGGTGCCGTCTGTGCGTGCCTCAACAATTACATAGGACGTCCGCCAGCTTGTCGTCCTGAATGTACCATTAACTCAGAGTGTCCGACGCGTATGGCATGCATGAATGCACGCTGTGCCGATCCATGCATTGGATCCTGTGGCAATAACGCCCTATGTCATGTCAGCTTCCATGCGCCCGTGTGCATGTGCCAGCCAGGCTACACTGGAGATCCATTCTCAGGCTGCTACAAGATTATAGAAAGTATGTCCCATCCTTAAACCAAACATTTCCTAAACATCTTATGACAATCCCTTCAATTATGTTGTCTGTTAAACAAATAGTACCTGTCGAAACCACACAACCCTGCCGACCCAGCCCCTGTGGTCTAAATGCCTTATGCGAGGAACGTAATCGCGCCGCAGCATGTAAATGTTTGCCCGAATACTTTGGCGATCCATATGTCGAGTGCCGACCCGAGTGTGTGATCAACTCCGACTGCCCCAAATCCCGCGCATGCGTAAATCAGAAGTGCGTCGATCCATGTCCGGGCATGTGCGGGCATAGTGCCCAATGCGCCGTATTCAACCATGCGCCCAACTGTGAATGCTTGCCGGGCTATACAGGAAATCCTATCGTCGGTTGTCATCTCGTTCCCGATATACCGCGCTGTAAGACTTGAGCCGCGTTGAAAACACAACCCATAATTAATAGCACACTTTACAATGTGTCTAGATCCCGATCCCATTGTGCCCGAAAATCCATGTCAGCCCTCACCATGCGGTCTATACAGCATCTGCCGTGCAGTTAACGGTCATGCTGTCTGCTCGTGTGTGCCAAACTATGTGGGCGCACCACCCAACTGCCGACCGGAATGCATGAGCAGTTCGGAATGCAGTCAAGACAAATCGTGCATCAATGAGCGCTGCAAAGATCCATGCCCTGGTACATGCGGCCACAATGCTTTATGCCGCGTCGTCAATCACAATCCCATTTGCTCCTGCAGTCCTGGCTACAGTGGCGATCCGTTCGTACGCTGCCTACCTCAAGAAAGTAAGAAAACATCGTCTCATCACTTCATAAAACAAAAGCTTGCTTTGGCTTGCATCTCTCATTTCAATCCATACACAACATCACCCCTTTATGTCATACTATATATTTTTAAATATCTTTCTTTTTTATATGTACAATATTATGTGGCTTTCATTGTGGTGCATGCTGTTATCATATTTGGTGTATTTGGTAAATGTAGAACGACCTATTGTAAAAGATCGCATCGATCCGTGTGTGCCCTCGCCATGCGGACCCAACTCGCAGTGCAGGGTGTCGGCTAATGAGCAACCGGTGTGCTCATGCTTGCAACATTATGTGGGTAGGGCGCCAAATTGCCGGCCAGAGTGCACCTCGAACTCCGAGTGCGCTGGCAACTTGGCTTGCATCAATTTGCGCTGTCAGAATCCATGTGTGGGCACCTGTGGCATTCAGACCACATGCCTTGTAAATAATCATAGACCAATTTGCCGTTGCCTTGAAGGCTATGTTGGCGATCCATTCTCTGAGTGTAGTCCACAAAGTAAGCGTTAGCGCTCAGTCAACGTGCAACTTCAAACTACAAATATTTCAATATTCTCTTAGTTATTGTGCCGCCGGAAATTGCGGAGCCCTGCAATCCCAGTCCGTGTGGTGCCAACGCTGTTTGCAAGGAACGCAACGGCGTCGGCTCCTGCACGTGTCTGCCCGATTACAGTGGCGATCCGTACACTGAATGCCGTCCGGAATGTGTACTCAATAACGACTGCTCCAAGAACCGCGCCTGCCTCAATAACAAGTGCAGAGATCCCTGTCTAGGAGTTTGCGGTGTTGCCGCTGAATGTCACGTCATCAATCATTCGCCCAGTTGCAGTTGTCCAGCCGGTTATACGGGCAATCCCTCACAGTATTGCCGTGAAATACCCAAATGTAGAGTATTCAAAAAGAAATAGGGAATCTTATACGGAATAGTTTAGTAACATTTCACCCCTACAATATTTATAGTGGCACCGCCTGTCCAACCATGTCAGCCATCGCCATGCGGCCCCTATAGCCAGTGCCGCGAGGTGAATGGGCATGCCGTCTGTTCGTGCATTGCCAATTATATTGGTGCACCGCCCGCCTGCCGTCCCGAGTGCTCGGTTAGCTCCGAGTGCGCGCAAGATAAGGCGTGCGTGAATTTGCGCTGTGTAGATCCATGTCCAGGCACCTGCGGTAATGAGGCCGTGTGCAAGGTGACCAATCACAATCCCATTTGCTCATGCCCAGCTGGCTATAGTGGTGATCCGTTTGTGCGGTGCACACCGTGGCAACCGGAGCCCGAAACTCCAAAGTCCAACGAAAATCCATGCGTGCCCAGCCCTTGCGGTCCCAACTCACAGTGCCGCGTGGTTGGAGAGACGGGTGTCTGCTCCTGTTTGCCAAACTATATTGGACGTGCGCCAAACTGTCGTCCAGAATGTACGCAAAATTCTGAATGCGCTGGTAATCTGGCTTGTATTAACGAGCGCTGCAAGGATCCCTGTCCCGGCTCGTGCGGTTTCAATGCTTTCTGCAATGTTGTAAATCACTCACCTGTTTGCACCTGTGAGAGCGGCTACTCGGGTGATCCGTTTGCTGGCTGTAATCCGCAACGTAAGCATTCAACTCCATCAGCTTGCTGTGACTAGACCTAATAGACTGTCTGATATGTATGATCCTTAGCTATTACCGTGCCCGACGAACGCTTAACACCCTGTGTACCCTCGCCCTGCGGCCCCAATGCAGAGTGCCGTGAACGCAATGGCGCCGGCTCCTGTACATGCTTGCCAGAATATTTTGGTGATCCGTACAGCGGCTGCCGTCCAGAGTGTGTGGTGAACAGTGATTGCCCACGCGATAGATCTTGCATCAACCAGAAATGCGTGGACCCTTGTCCAGGTGTTTGTGGCTTGAATGCAGAATGCCGCGTGGCCAATCACTTGCCCAGCTGCCTCTGTCTGGCCGGCTACACTGGAAACCCATCGAGCGCTTGCCGTGAAATAATCGAACTGCCTGAACCACGTAGGTTTATAATTCAAGCAAGAGCCCCACAAACGACTGACCGCCATTTACCCTTTATCGTTCCTAGCCAAAGCCAATGATAATCCCTGTGTGCCTTCCCCTTGTGGTCCATACAGTCAATGTCGGGAAATAAACAACCATGCCGTGTGCTCGTGTCAGCCCGGCATGATTGGCTCAGCGCCTAATTGCAGGCCTGAGTGCATAGTTAGCTCAGACTGCGCCCAAGATCTCAATTGTCAGAATCAGAAGTGTGTGGATCCATGCCCAGGCACTTGCGGCATTGAGGCCCGTTGCCAGGTCATTAATCACTACCCTGCATGTTCCTGTGCCCCAGGCTACACTGGAGATCCTTTCAATCGATGCACTCGAATTATATGTAAGCATGAGTACTCCATACAGATGCTTAGGTCAGTTGGACAGAGAGATAGAGTGAGAAAGAGAGTGCGAGTGGGAGAGGGGTATAGAGGTTAAATTTGATTTGCAAGTATATGTATTTCTGTCCAGCTGGCGTTGGTTTTCTGTTTCTTTCCTGCATGTATATAAATCCTTCACCTTAATCTTTCTTTATTTTTTTCTACTCTGTGTTTTGATTTTATGTACACTCTACCAATTACTCTACACTATCCGAACTTCCCAACTCTACTATGTATTTGTATATGTGTAAATGTGTTTGTGTGGGTATACACTTACTTCAACTATCTGGCATGTCTGGCTTGGCTATGTAGTGGAGGAAACACCCAAAGAACCTGGTAATCCCTGTGTGCCCTCGCCCTGCGGACCCAACTCGAAATGCGTCGATATACGCGGTTCGCCTGCATGCTCCTGCCTGCCCGATTACCTCGGCCGGCCACCCAACTGCCGACCCGAATGCATGACTAGTTCCGATTGTCCAGCCAACTTGGCATGTGTTAACCAGCGCTGTGCAAACCCATGTATCGGTGCATGCGGCATACACACGCAGTGTACTGTTATTAAGCATAATCCGAACTGCCAATGCGAGCCTGGTTACACCGGAGATCCTTTCTCCGGCTGTGCCATTATACACCAAAGTATACAAATTTAACTTTTTTCTACGGCACATTTCTAACATTTATATTTGCATATTATCTTCTTCCCCACTCAACATATTCTTCAGTCACGCCAACGGAAGCCTCACGCAATCCCTGTAATCCAAGCCCATGCGGCGCCAATGCCGTGTGTCGTGAACGCAACAACGCCGGTTCGTGTTCCTGTCTGCCCGAGTACTTCGGGGATCCGTACAGCGGTTGTCGTCCGGAATGCGTACAAAATCCCGACTGCGACCGCTCACGCGCTTGCATTAACAACAAGTGTCAGGATCCATGTCCAGGTGCATGCGGCATCAATGCCGAGTGCCGCGTGTTGAATCACGCGCCCAACTGTATGTGCTTTGATGGATACACTGGGGATCCGCATCACTCTTGTTCGATAATTGAAGTCGTTACCCGTCGTCCCGAAAATCCATGCCAGCCCTCACCATGTGGACCCAATAGCCAGTGTCATGATACCAACAGCCATGCGGTCTGCAGCTGCCTGGAAGGATACATTGGAGCACCACCGAACTGCAAGCCTGAATGTGTGGTCAGCTCAGAGTGTGCACAGAATCGTGCATGCATCAACCAGAAGTGTGCTGATCCGTGCCGCGGTGCTTGCGGAGACAATGCCAAATGCCAAGTGGTCAACCACAATCCCATCTGTAGCTGTGTACCAGGCATGACGGGTGATCCTATCTCCGGATGTGTACCAGATGTGGGCAAGAGCACAGAAAATCCATGCGTGCCCTCACCTTGTGGACCGAACTCGATTTGCCGTGAAATCGGACAACAAGCTGCCTGCTCATGTCGGGCCAACTATATTGGACGTCCGCCCAGCTGTCGGCCAGAGTGCACCACCAACGACGAATGCCAAAATCATCTATCCTGCCAACAGGAGCGCTGCGTTGATCCTTGCCCTGGCTCGTGCGGCAGCAATGCCATTTGCCAGGTGGTTCAACACAATGCAGTTTGCTCCTGTGCCGATGGCTATGAGGGCGATCCGCTATTCGGCTGTCAGCTCATACCACCAGTATTACCCACGCAACCACCATCATCACCATGCGAGCCTTCGCCCTGTGGTCCACACGCCGAGTGCCGCGAACGCAACGGTGCCGGCGCATGCTACTGCCATGACGGCTTCGAGGGAAATCCCTACGATGCGCAGCGAGGCTGCCGTCGCGAGTGTGAGACGAACGATGAATGCAGCCCAGCACAGGCATGCGTGCGCTTCAAGTGCATTGACCCATGCGCAAATATGTGCGGTGAATATGCGATCTGCACGGTAGACAACCATGTGCCCACCTGTGTTTGCCCGGACGGCTACAGCGGCGATCCATTCTTTAGCTGCCGACCTGTGCCGGTTACACCACCGCCACCTATTAATCCGTGTGTGCCATCGCCTTGCGGCCCCAACAGCAATTGTCGCAGCATGAACAACCAAGCTGTGTGCTCTTGCCAATCAGGATTCGTGAACCAACCACCAAACTGCCGTCCCGAGTGTGTTGTCAGCGCGGAATGCGCCCCAGAGCGTGCTTGCGTCAACAACAAGTGCGTGGATCCCTGCCTGCACACGTGTGGCATTCGTGCCATCTGCAGCACCAAGAATCACAGTCCTATTTGCACCTGTCCGCGCGGAATGACTGGCGATCCGTTCGTACAATGTACCAAGATACGTAAGTAATCAGTTAAATGTAATGTTAACTTTTAGATTCTAAGACGATCTCTTTCCAACTTGCAGCGATTACAAACGATGTGACCACGCCTGAACCACCTGCACCTTCCTGCGTGCCCTCGCCTTGCGGCCCCAATGCGAAATGTCAAATCGTGGGCGGCAGTCCAGCATGCTCTTGCCTGCCAGACTTTATTGGCGCGCCGCCACGTTGCCGACCTCAGTGCGTTTTGAACTCAGAGTGCGGCCCCACGGAGGCGTGCATCAATCAAAAGTGTCGCGATCCCTGCCCTGGCTCGTGCGGCTTTGAAGCCAAGTGCCATGTGCTTAACCATCTACCAATATGTAACTGCATCGACGGCTTCACTGGCGATCCGTTTGTGCGCTGCAGCAAGCTACCAGAAGAAAAGGTTGTCTCACGACCCGATGATCCATGCAGTCCCAGTCCCTGCGGACCCAATGCTGATTGCTTTGCCGGTGAGTGCCGCTGTCAGAACAACTATCAAGGTAATCCCTACGAGGGCTGTCGTCCCGAATGCACACTGTCTGCGGACTGTTCACGGGATAAGGCTTGCATGCGCAACAAGTGTGTGGATCCCTGCCCAGGAACATGTGGAAATAACGCCATTTGCGAAGTTATGAATCACATACCCGTCTGTTCCTGCCAGCAAGGCTATGAGGGTGATCCGTTCACTAATTGCCGACCAAAACCAATCGACCCTGTGGAAGAGCCCAAACCCTGCTCACCCTCGCCATGCGGTGCCAACAGCCAGTGTCGCGATATTAATGGACATGCGGTGTGCTCCTGCCTGGAAGGCTTCATTGGAGCGCCGCCACAATGTCGACCAGAGTGTGTCGTTTCCAGCGAGTGCTCAGCAGTGCAAGCGTGTGTCAACAAAAAGTGCGTAGATCCCTGTGCTGGTGCCTGTGGCATTGAAGCGCGCTGTGAGGTTATCAATCACAGTCCCATATGCGGCTGTCCTCCAGGCACAACTGGAGATCCATTCAAGGGCTGCACCGAAATACCCATGCAGAAAGATGTGGATCAAAAGCCGCCGCCCAGCGATCCATGCGTGCCATCGCCCTGTGGACCCAACTCGATATGCAAAGCTGATAACAAGGGACCCGTTTGCCAATGCCTGCCAGAGTACTTTGGAGCTCCGCCCAACTGTCGAGTCGAATGTATCATCAATCCAGATTGTCCGTCGACACAGGCATGCATAAACAACAAGTGTCGCGATCCCTGTCCCGGATCCTGTGGCACGAACTCCGAGTGCCGCGTTATTGGCCACTCTGTTTCGTGCTCATGTCCGCCCGGATATGCTGGCAATGCTTTCGTACAGTGCGTGCAGCAGCGTGAAGAGCAACCGAAGCCATGCGAGCCCTCCCCATGTGGCGCCAACGCTGAATGCATTGAACGTAATGGCGCTGCCGCCTGCAAATGCATTGACGAATATCAGGGCAATCCCTACGAGGGCTGTCGACCAGAGTGCGTGCTCAGCTCGGACTGTTCCACGGATAAGGCTTGCATAAGGAACAAATGTCAGGATCCGTGCCCGGGCATCTGTGGCTCCAATGCTCAGTGCTATGCTATCAATCATGTGCCCAACTGCGTTTGCAACGACGGATATACGGGTGATCCGTTCTCCAATTGCCGCCGTGTTGAAGTAACTCCCCCACCAACTGTTGCCGATCCATGCAGCCCGTCGCCTTGTGGCCCTAACAGCAAGTGCCGCCTGGCCAATGGCCTAGCTGTATGCTCTTGCCTGGATACCTTTATTGGTGCACCGCCCAACTGCAAGCCAGAGTGTACAGTGAATGCTGAATGCCCACAGAACAAGGCGTGTCATAAGTTCCGCTGCGCAAATCCATGCGCCGGCACTTGCGGCATTGATGCCAAGTGTGAGGTCATCAATCACAATCCCATCTGCAGTTGCCCCATCGACATGACTGGCGATCCGTTTGCGCGCTGCTATCCAGCACCGGAAGTTGCTGAACCAAAGGACGCCCCCAAGAACCCATGCCAGCCCTCGCCTTGCGGACTTTATTCCGAGTGCCGTGTGCGCGGCGATCAGGCATCCTGCTCTTGTTTGCCAAACTACATTGGAGCACCGCCTAATTGCCGAGCCGAGTGTGTTGTGAACACTGATTGCGTCTCAGATCGTGCTTGTATTGCAGAGAAGTGCCGCAATCCCTGTGAAGGATCTTGCGGTATTAACTCCGAGTGCCGCGTTCAAAATCACCTGGCCATATGTACGTGCCGCGGCAGCTTTACTGGCGATCCGTTTGTGCAATGTGTCGAAGTTGTTGAAAAGACAACACAGCCACCTCCCACATCACTGGATCCGTGTGATCTCCAACCATGCGGTGCCAATGCCGAATGCAATAACGGAATCTGTAGCTGCCTACCTGAATATCAGGGTGATCCCTACACCGGCTGCCGTCCAGAGTGCACGCTCAGCACAGATTGCTCGCCAAATAAGGCTTGCCTGAACAAGAAGTGCGTCGATCCGTGCCCCGGAACCTGTGGACAGAATGCACAATGCGATGTTTCAAATCATATACCTATCTGCAGCTGCCTACAAGGCTACACGGGTGATCCGTTTGTCCATTGCCGTCAAGAGACGCCGGTGGCCAAGGATCCTTGCCAACCGAACCCATGTGGACCCAATAGCTTATGCCACGTCTCTGCTCAGGGTGCTGTTTGTGCCTGCCAGCCGGGCATGCTGGGCTCACCACCCGCTTGCAAGCCCGAATGCATTGTCAGCTCAGAGTGTTCCCTGCAAACGGCCTGCATACAAAAGAAGTGTGTCGATCCTTGCCCAGGAGCTTGCGGTCAGTTCGCTCGCTGCCAAGTGATCAATCACAATCCGTCGTGCTCATGCAACACTGGTTATACGGGTGATCCGTTCACACGCTGCTACCAGGAGGAGCGTAAGCCCCCACCAGAGGCTCCCAGCCATCCTTGCGTGCCATCCCCATGTGGACCGAATTCAGAGTGCAAAGAACTTAACGGAAATCCAGCCTGTTCGTGTGCGGCAACATTCATTGGCACACCACCCAACTGTCGACCCGAGTGCACCATTAATCCGGAATGTTCGCCAACTAAAGCTTGCATACGTCAGAAGTGCGCCGATCCTTGCGTGGGCGCCTGCGGCTTCAATGCCCGCTGCAACGTGGCCAATCATCAACCCATCTGCACATGCGATGTGGGCTACACAGGAGATCCTTTCACCGGTTGTCAACAGGAACAAGGTAGGAACCCGTTTTCATTTATTACACACAATACACCCGTAGTTAGGTCAAGGCGTAAACTAGCTTGGTTAAGGTTGCTTATATCAACGTCCACTGCCCAAAATTGTCGAACACCCGCCTAAAAGACAAAGCTTTACTCGAGATTCACTGCAATTACACGTATTCGCATTTGTTTACGCCTTGATAGGGAAATTCAAATGTGAAACTGAAATAAAATACCTTACAAATCGTGCCATATTATATTATTATCATAAATTGCCTCTGATCTCAACTTATATTTGTTATCCCCATAAAACTTAATCAGTTTCACATGTTTTAAATGCGCATTAAGAAAGTTTACAAATGCAAAAATGTATTGATTTTGATTACCAAGTTTTACTTAATAAATTATTAAATATGACAAATAATGTGATGTTAGATAAAGTACGTAACGTCTATTTGCAAATTAAGTTGCCGCGATCTTTTAAATTGGAAAAAAAACCTGCACTAGCCTTTTGTTTTTCACATTGAACAAATTAATGCAAACACTGTCAACTTCTTTTAATGCGCTTTGATTTTGAGATTTGTATACACACATTTTACACGAATTTATATTAAAAGTTTTGTTTATTGCACGCACAAGCACACTGCATTGCAAAATATGTGTTTTCAAATATATCATCATTTCATTGTTTATCAACACTGGAGCGAAATGCAAATCTAAGGTCGCACAGTTCTGTACGAGTTGTCTGAATTGTTGCTGGCCGAGGAAGTGTTTGTGTGCGGCAGTAGTCAAAATTTTTAATTAGTTTAAGATTATATTTTTGACACCATATTATATTTGCTTTTAAATGCCTTTAACGCCTCAATACAATATGCAAACTTGCCACGCCTTTTTGCCACACAATATATGTATAAGTAAAATGCCTCAACAAAACACCTTGAATTGCCCTAACCCCCTGACTTTGTCGTTTTTGATGCTTTGGGAAGTAATATTTTGGCCCTGTTGTATGAATTGAATTCGGACCCATGAAATGCTTATACTTATACCAATTTGTTTGACCCAAATGCGTACAATTTCTCAATACTTAACCTCTGAATTCGATTACCTAACCCGAAATTGAAAATTCTTAAAATACCAAAGACAAAAAACACCCTTCGAAATTGAGTACTGCGTTGTATCGCCCAAAATTTGTGCCCTTTTATATACCATAATTGTAACATCGGCTCGCCAAAGGATTATCAACAATTACCAAAGGCTACAGGAAACTAAAAAGCGCTTATTGATTACTATTAATTAGTTAATATATTATATTTAAGAATTTAGATTTGTAACTCTGTAGTGCCAAACACTTAATTCGTTTAACAAATGCAATAAATCGATTGATATAAGATGACAAGAAACACTTGTTTTAATGACGTCACAAAACGTACGAAACCATACTGTGCATATTACATTATGCAACCCTGCACACTACACTGCGCACTGCACCACAACTCACTGCAACGCACTGCGTTTAACAACACTAAAAACTAAAACCTGCCGCGCAAAAGGAAACTTTTTGCGACAAAATTCAAAATAAATTAATTGGAAAATGCCAACATTTAATCCGTGCTCTAATCTCACTGCCAACAAAATAAAAACCAAACACCCAATTGGAATAATGAACTGCAAATAAAATGCTTAAAACTAAAGCAATTGCCAGGTGTGTTTGCTCGTACTAAACCCGCAAAACTAAAGAACAGTTATTAAAGTCATTGCCAAAACTCTCTTTTCTTCCACCCCCGCTCTGTTGCTCTTAACCGTCTTTCCCGAGTACAGAGAAAATAGTCAATGAACAGGTCACACCATGTGAACCAAATCCCTGTGGATCGAACGCCGTTTGCCGTGAGCGCAATGGCATTGGTGCCTGCCAGTGCCTGCCCGATTACTTTGGCGATCCGTACCAGTCGTGTCGACCGGAATGCGTACGTAATTCCGACTGTCCATCGAATAAGGCATGCCAGCAGCAAAAGTGTCGCGATCCCTGCCCTGGCACATGTGGTACAAATGCCGATTGCCGAGTAACGGCACATCTACCCACGTGCACGTGCCGCAGCGGCTACACCGGTGATCCGTATCGTTACTGCCATGTGGAACCCGCTCAACGTAAGACCCATCTCTACCCATGTCTGCAGATTAACAACGACTACAAGATACCATTTACAGCTATACGGCAAGCCGAACCCACTCAACCCTGCCGACCCTCACCTTGTGGCCCCAATTCCCAGTGCCGCGAGCTTAACGGCCAAGCGGTATGCTCCTGTCTTGAACTGTATATCGGTCTACCACCCAACTGTCGACCCGAGTGTGTATTGAGCACCGAATGTCCCACTGATAAAGCATGCATAAGTCAACGTTGTCAGGATCCTTGCCCGGGCACCTGCGGTATTAATGCCGAGTGCCGTGTGCGTAATCATAGTCCACTTTGTCAGTGTCGTCGAGGTTTTACGGGCGACGCCTTTACACGTTGCTATGCTATGCCACGTAAGAAATTTAGTTGCAGTCGAAGACGATTCTCCCATTGTAATATTCATTTTCCCAATTTAGCACCAGCACCTGTCATTGAACGTGTTGAACGCGATCCTTGTGTACCCACACCCTGTGGGCTCAATAGTCAGTGTCGTAATGTGCAAGGAGTTCCATCTTGCACCTGTCTACCGGAATACATAGGCACGCCGCCAAATTGCCGACCCGAATGCACTATCAGTGCCGAGTGCGCCTCAAATATGGCGTGTATTCGCGAAAATTGTATAGATCCATGTCCCGGCTCTTGCGGCTATGCTGCGGAATGCAATGTTGTCAATCACACACCCATATGTACATGTCCAACAGGTTATACAGGCGATCCGTTTAGCAGCTGTCGTCTGGCTCCACCAGAGCCTGTGTTAAGTGAGTTTTCGAAAAAAAAAAAACAAGGATCACATATCTCTAATCGCTTACGATCTTTAGACGAATACGTTGACCGCTGTCAACCATCACCGTGTGGTCCGAATGCGCAATGCAGGGACGGTGTATGCACATGTTTGCCCGAGTTCCATGGGGATCCCTATTCTGGTTGTCGACCAGAATGTGTCCTCAATTCCGACTGCCCGCGCGATAAGGCCTGTCTGCGCAGCAAATGTCTCAATCCGTGCCCGGGCACTTGTGGCGAGAACGCTATTTGCGATGTAATCAATCATATACCCATGTGTAGATGCCCAGATGGTACCGCAGGCAGCGCCTTTATACGCTGTACACCCGTGCCGAGTACGTCGACCTTGTTATTCTCAATTTGTTCTCCCTTACTTATTGTTGAAACTTATCTACAGAAATTGTTGTGGACACTAATCCTTGCCGACCATCGCCTTGTGGTCCAAATTCTCAGTGCCGCGAAGTCAACCAGCAGGCTGTATGTTCTTGTTTGCCAACGTTCATTGGCGCTCCACCCACGTGTAGACCAGAATGTACTTCCAATGCTGAGTGTGCACCCACTCAAGCGTGCCTTAATCAGCGTTGTGGTGACCCATGTCCTGGTACATGTGGTGTGGGCGCCGATTGTGCGGTTGTCAATCACAGTCCTTTCTGCACCTGCCCCACGCGTTTCACCGGAAATCCCTTTATACGTTGCCAGCCACAAAGTAAGCGTACATGTTATGTGAAGCTAAAGAATCTTCTACAATAATAGCTCATCCCCAGTCGAACCTGTGCGCGATGTTCAGCCAATCGATCCATGCCGGCCGTCCCCCTGCGGCCCCTACTCGCAATGTCGACCTATTGGAGAAGCACCAGCTTGTTCCTGTCTCGAAACTTATATAGGGCGTCCACCAAACTGTCGACCAGAGTGTGTCACCAGCTCAGACTGCAATAGCCAACTGGCTTGTATTAACCAGAAGTGTGTTGATCCATGCCCAGGCCGCTGTGGTCTGAATGCTGACTGCCGTGTCGTCAGTCATGTGGTACAGTGCATCTGCCAGCAGGGCTTCACTGGTGATCCATTTGTCCAATGCAGTCCAGAAATCGAACGAGATATCGAAGTGCGTACACCATGCAGCCCGAGCCCATGTGGGGCGAATGCTATTTGTCGCGAACGAGATGGAGCTGGATCTTGTCAATGTCTCCCTGAATACTTTGGCAATCCCTACGATGGTTGTCGTCCCGAGTGTGTTCTTGATTCCGATTGTCCATCGAATCGTGCCTGCCAACAGCAAAAATGTCAGGATCCGTGCCCTGGCACCTGTGGTCGAAATGCCAATTGTCAAGTAGTCAATCACCTACCATCCTGTAATTGTCTACCTGGATACATTGGCGATCCGTATCGTCTTTGTACACGTCCTGTGAAACGTAAGCAACTCGCCGCCAACTTGTGAAAGTCACAATCCTAACTATTGTACATCTTATTTTGCTGTAGCTATACGCAATGAATACACTAATCCATGTCAGCCCACGCCGTGTGGTCCCAACTCGCAGTGTCGCGTTACAAATGAACAAGCCGTCTGTTCTTGTCTACCCGCGTTCATTGGTGCCCCACCCGCCTGTCGACCCGAGTGCACCATCTCCTCGGAATGTGCTGGAGACAAGGCCTGTCTGAATCAGAAATGTGTTAATCCCTGCGTGGCCAACACCTGTGGAAACAATGCAATTTGTCGAGTTCGCAACCACAGTCCAATCTGCAGTTGCATCAGTGGATTCACTGGTGATGCCTTTACCCAATGCTTCCCTATACCACGTAAGCCCAATTCTTCGCCGTAATGTTATGAGGACTGTACACAAATCTATTTCTGTACTGTAGCCCGGCCAATCGAGGTCCAACCAGAGCCTTTGCGCGACCCCTGCGTGCCCACACCCTGTGGTCCACACTCTGAATGTCGCAACATTAATGGAGTTCCAGCGTGTTCCTGCTTAGCTACGTTCATTGGCCAGGCACCCAACTGTCGTCCAGAGTGCACCATTAATTCCGAGTGTCCCAGCCAGCAGGCATGCATTAATCAGAAATGCCGCGATCCCTGTCCAGGCGCCTGTGGTTTAAATGCAATTTGTAGTGTTATAAACCATACACCGTTATGTGCTTGCATTGACGGCTATGTTGGCAATCCGTTTACGAATTGCAATCCAAAGCCACCTCAGCGTACGTGTTCAGATAAAACTCCAAAAGGATTGCAACAATGTTCATCATTTATACTTTTTACAGCAACTGCACCTCCTGTTAGGGACGATCCTTGCAATCCATCGCCATGTGGTGCCAATGCACAATGTAATGATGGTAAATGTACCTGTATAGCCGAATACCAGGGTGAGCCATATGTAGGCTGTCGCCCAGAGTGTGTTCTCAACACAGACTGCCCACAGAACCGTGCATGCATTCGTAATAAATGCATCGATCCTTGCCCCGGCACCTGTGGAGTGAATGCAATTTGTGAGGTGACAAATCATGTGCCTATCTGTCGATGCCCTGAACAAATGTCAGGCAATGCATTCTTTGAATGCCGCTCAGTGCCAGCACCTGCGCCCCAGAATCCCTGCCAACCATCACCTTGTGGACCTAATAGTCAATGTCGTGTTGTGCAAGAAACCGCCGTCTGCTCTTGTCTGATTGACTATGTAGGCAGTCCGCCGCAATGTCGTCCAGAATGTGTTACCAATTCAGATTGTGCAGCCAACCAAGCATGCCAGAACATGAAGTGCCGCGATCCTTGTCCCGGCACTTGCGGCTTCAATGCTCTATGCAATGTGGTGAACCACAGTCCTTTCTGCAGCTGCCCCGCTGGCATGTCAGGCAATCCTTTCGTGCGCTGTGAACAGATTAGTAAGTTATCTAAAATTTTTGGAAACTTGGCAGGCGTACAATCTCAAATTCTTACAGTAGTTCCCCAACGTGATGTCACACCTCAAAATCCATGTCAACCCTCGCCATGTGGCCCCAACTCTGAGTGTCGTGTCTCAGGTGATTCGCCATCCTGTTCTTGTTTGCCTGAATTTTTGGGGTCTCCGCCAAACTGCCGACCAGAATGCATATCTAATTCAGAGTGTGCTACCAACCAGGCGTGCGTTAATCAGAAATGCGTGGATCCATGTCCAGGACTATGTGGGCTCAATGCGAACTGTCGCACTTTCAGCCATACAGCCATGTGCCTTTGTGAAAGCGGATTCACTGGCGATCCCTTTGCCCAGTGCAGCCCCATAAGAGAAACACAGAACGAACGGATACAGCCATGCAACCCAAGTCCGTGCGGCATCAATGCGAAATGTGAAGAACGTGGCGGAGCTGGCTCATGCCGGTGTCTTCCTGAATACTTTGGAAATCCTTACGAGGGCTGCCGGCCGGAGTGCGTAGCCAACTCAGATTGTCCTTCAAATAGAGCTTGTCAGCAGCAGAAATGCCGCGATCCCTGCCCTGGCACATGTGGACAGAACGCCGAGTGCCAAGTTATTAATCACTTGGCCACATGCAATTGTCTGAATGGCTACACTGGAGATCCGTACAGCATTTGCCGCATTATAGAAAACGAACCACGTAAGCCTACCCTGGCGAACCTTTTAGAGGAGCCGACTGTTCATACAAAATTTCTTATAGCCGAACGTGTCTATGTGAATCCCTGTCAACCATCACCTTGTGGACCTAATTCGCGCTGCCGAGAAGTTAACGGGCAAGCTGTCTGCTCCTGTCTAGCTGAGTTCATTGGCAGTCCACCAGCTTGTCGGCCCGAATGTACCAGTAGCTCCGAATGCGCTGCTGATAAGGCTTGTGTGAATCGAAAATGTGTTGACCCATGTCCCAATGTCTGTGGTCAACAGGCCGAATGCCGTGTACGCAACCACAGTCCTATCTGCACTTGCATAAATGGATTTACAGGCGACGCCTTTACACGTTGCTATAAACTGCCTCGTAAGCCCACTATTATCAATTCAAGGTACCCAAATCTAATGGATACTTTCAAAACATTTTTAGCTCCCATTGTGACAATTGAACGAGAACCTATTGATCCCTGTGTTCCATCGCCTTGTGGTGCAAACTCACAATGTCGCGATGTTTATGAAACACCATCATGTTCTTGCCTGCCAAATTATCTGGGCACTCCACCAAACTGCCGACCAGAGTGCTCTATCAATGCCGAATGCCCGAGTCATCAAGCATGCATAAATCAAAAATGTCGCGACCCTTGCCCTGGTTCCTGTGGCCTAAATACACAGTGCAATGTGATCAATCACACACCGATTTGTAGTTGTCTGGTTGGTTATATTGGTGATCCCTTCGTTGTTTGTAATCCAGAACCACCTCAAAGAAGTAAGAATTTTATGAGATTCAATTCAATAGCAGAAAATTTAATACTCAGCTTATCCATCAGTTGAAGACCCGCCAGTACCTCAGGATCCTTGCAACCCTTCGCCATGTGGCGCTAATGCCCAATGTCGCAATGGTCAATGCACCTGCATTCCTGAATACCAAGGAGATCCTTTTGTGGGTTGTCGCCCAGAATGTGTACTGCACACAGATTGCGCCCGCAATCTTGCCTGTGTGCGTCATAAGTGTGTGGATCCATGTCCAGGCACTTGTGCGACCACTGCCATTTGTGAGGTACTCAATCACATACCCAACTGCCGTTGTCCAGATGGCATGGAAGGCAATGCGTTTGTCTCTTGCAGCCCAGTGCAACGTAAGCCATCATCAACATCGTGTTTCCATTTCGCTTCTACAGCTTATTACCATTTTTTTAGAACTCGACGTCGTTCAAAATCCTTGCCAGCCAAGCCCTTGCGGACCAAACTCACAATGTCGCGTGGTAAATCAACAGGCCATCTGCTCTTGCATCACGTCTTTTATCGGTAGCCCACCATTCTGTCGACCTGAATGCACATCGAACTCGGAATGCCCACTGAACTTGGCTTGTCTTAATCAGAAGTGTAGCGATCCATGTCCTGGTGTCTGTGGTCGCAATGCCCAGTGCCATGTGACTAACCACAGTCCATTCTGTCGTTGTCTGGATCGCCATACGGGCAATCCATTTGTTAGCTGCCAGCCGATTATTGAGCCCCCAACTCCGCCACCGCGCCAAGCCTGTCAGCCATCACCTTGTGGACCTTTTGCCGAGTGCCGTGAGGTAAACGAGACACCTTCTTGCACTTGCCTGCCAAACTACATTGGAGCACCGCCGAACTGTCGCCCAGAGTGTGTTACCAGCTCGGAATGCCCAACAAATCAGGCTTGTATACAACAAAAGTGTCGGGATCCTTGTCCTGGTTTATGCGGGCAGGCTGCTGTATGCCGAGTACTTTCACATACGCCAAGTTGCTACTGCCCCGACAATATGGAGGGTGATCCCTTCGTACAGTGTGTGGAAAAAAGAATTCAGCAATTGGATCAGTTGGATCCATGCAATCCAAGTCCATGTGGCGCAAATGCTCGATGCACATCCCGACAGGATGCTGGCTCATGTCAATGCCTGACAGGTTACTTTGGAAATCCGTACGAGGGATGCCGACCAGAATGTGTGCTCGACTCTGATTGTCCATCGAACCGTGCCTGCCAGCAACAAAAGTGTCAAGATCCGTGCCCCGGAACCTGTGGTCCGAATGCTGTCTGCAATGTGCTCAATCATGTGCCCAGCTGCAGCTGCTTAATTGGTTACAGTGGTGATCCATATCGCCTATGCCAACAAGAAAGGCAACGTAAGACTACTCCTGGCTCCCTTATCGGAACAAAATTAATTCCCTTTCCATCTATAGCTATCAAGCAATATGTGAATCCCTGCCAGCCCTCTCCCTGTGGCCCCAATTCTCAGTGTCGAGAGAGTAATGAACAGGCGGTTTGCTCATGCTTGCCCGAGTATGTGGGTGCACCACCAACCTGTCGACCTGAGTGTACAATCTCGTCTGAGTGTGCGGCAGACAAGGCCTGTGTGGCCAAGAAGTGTGTTGATCCCTGTCCAGGCACTTGTGGTGATCAAGCTTTATGCCGTGTAGTTAATCATAGTCCAATTTGCTCGTGTCGCACTGGTTTTACGGGCGATGCTTTCTACCGCTGTCTACCCATACCTCGTAAGTGTTCTGCTTGCCTTCAGTTATGCCATTGTAACGATTCCATTCCGGATTTAGCGGCTCCGCCTACTACAATTGTGCAAAAACAACCGATCGACCCTTGTGTGCCCTCACCTTGCGGATCTTACGCTGAGTGCCGTCCACGTGGTGAAGCACCATCCTGCTCCTGTTTGCCCGGTTATTTGGGAGTACCACCTAACTGCCGCCCCGAGTGTCGAATCAACTCAGACTGCCCCAGCAGTCAGGCTTGCATTAATGAAAAGTGTCGCGATCCCTGTCCAGGTTCCTGTGGCTTTGGTGCCATTTGTAATGTCATAAATCATACACTCAGTTGCACTTGTCCAGCTGGTTATACCGGGGACGCCTTTAGTCACTGTCAACCGGAACCACCACCAAAACGTAAGCTAGGCATTAAAAAAACATTATCAACAGCTTCATTATTGTTCGAATTGTAGCTGTAGAATCCGACGATCCTTGCAATCCTTCGCCATGTGGTCCAAACGCTGTATGCAGAGCCGGTGTGTGCTCCTGTCTGCCAGAGTATCTAGGCGATCCTTACAGCGGTTGTCGACCTGAATGCCTTACTAGCTCAGATTGCCCGCGAGATAGAGCATGCGGTCTTCACAAATGTTTCGATCCCTGTCCAGGGACATGCGCTCCAAATGCGCTGTGCACCGTGCTTAACCACATACCGATGTGTACATGTCCTGAAGGTTATGCAGGAAATGCATTCCTGCAGTGTCATCCAATACCACGTAAATATTTTGCTCTTCCAATTGACCAAACAGAGTCGAGATTTCTATGCATCATTTACTTTGCAGCGCCTGCCATTGTACAACCCTGTCAGCCGTCGCCTTGTGGACCGAATTCACAATGCCGAGAGGCGAATCAGCAAGCTGTCTGCTCCTGTGTGCCTGGCTATATTGGCACACCACCACTTTGTCGTCCAGAGTGCACTAGTAACTCGGAATGTGCTGCCCAACTAGCTTGTGTCAATCAAAAGTGTATCGACCCGTGCCCGGGTGCTTGTGGTCGCAGTGCCCAGTGTAGTGTAGTCAATCATAATCCCTTCTGTACCTGCTTGCCTCACTATACGGGTAATCCGTTTGTGGGCTGCCAACTAATTGTTGAGCCCCCTCAACGTGACATTGAGCCCCAAGATCCATGTCGTCCATCACCTTGTGGCGCTAATGCCGAATGTCGCGCTATTGGGGAGACACCGTCATGCACTTGTCTAGCAGGATATGTGGGCTCACCGCCTTATTGCAAGCCCGAATGTGTCGCGAACTCCGAATGCCCCAGTAATCGTGCGTGTATAAATCAAAAATGCCGCGATCCGTGCCCTGGTCTTTGTGGAGCCAATGCTATTTGTCGCGTTGTCTCACATACGCCTATGTGTGTTTGTGACGCCGGACTGACAGGCGATCCATTTACACAATGCCAACCAATAGAAAAGGATGTGGAAATTATCAATCCCTGCCAGCCATCGCCATGTGGCTCCAATGCTGAGTGTATACAACGCAATGGTGCCGGAGCCTGTCAATGCCTACCTGATTTCTTTGGCAATCCTTACGAGGGATGTCGACCGGAATGTATACTCAACTCGGATTGTCCTTCAAATCGTGCGTGTCAACAACAAAAGTGCCGGGATCCGTGTCCTGGTAGCTGCGGACAAAATGCTGAATGCAATGTTGTTAATCATACACCCATGTGCTCCTGCTTCGCGGGATATGTTGGAGATCCGTATCGCTACTGTAACCAGCCCGCAGAACGTAAGCTAGTTCCAATTTATTTTGTAGATTTGTCTAACCAGCTCGTAGTGGCATTGTAGTTACTAATTGAAAACGTACTTATCTATTTGCCTAACCCAACCGCTAGCGATTATTCATGAGTATGTAAACCCATGTTTGCCCTCGCCCTGTGGCTCGAATGCCCAATGTCGTGAGGTTCAGGGCCAAGGGGTTTGTTCCTGTTTGCCCGAGTTTAAGGGAGTGCCACCCAATTGCCGACCCGAATGTACCTCTAGCGCTGAGTGCTTAGACACCCAGGCATGCATTAATCGTAAGTGTGTTGATCCATGCCCGGGTGTTTGCGGCCAACAGGCGGTATGCCAGGTGCGCAACCACAGCCCACTTTGTATGTGTCCTCCAGGTCTGATGGGCGATCCATTCGTTCGCTGCCTACCTCGTCCAACACGTAAGACATGTTTGTGTATATTTTATGAGTTGATGTAACGAGTATTTGTGTTAAAATTAGCTTCAGCACCAGTTCGAGATGTGGTGCCTTATCGCGACCCTTGCGTACCCTCACCGTGTGGTCTGTACGCCACATGCCGTAATCAACACGGTCAAGCGATTTGCTCTTGCCAAACTAACTATTATGGTACCCCACCTCATTGTCGACCTGAGTGTACCATCAATGCAGATTGCGCCAGTCATCTGGCTTGCATTGGTGAAAGGTGCCGCGATCCTTGTCCAGGAGCTTGCGGTCAGCGCACAGAGTGCCGTGTTATCAATCACACGCCCAACTGTGTTTGCCTTCATGGCTACGTTGGCGATGCCTTTGTAGCTTGCCGGCCTGCACCACGTAAGCTATACGGAAAAGATTTTAACGTACAGAGTAGATGAACTCCTAATACCTTCCCTACAGCGGCACCAACTTATAACGAACCTAAAGATCCTTGTAATCCCAGTCCATGCGGTAGCAATGCTATTTGCTCGGGAGATGGGCAATGTGCGTGCATAGCCGAATATCGGGGCGATCCGTATATCGCCTGTCGTCCAGAGTGCGTATTGAGCGCTGAATGTCCTCGAAATCTCGCCTGTGTCCAACAAAAGTGTATAGATCCCTGCCCTGGTACCTGTGGAGTAAACGCAATTTGTGAAGTTGTCAATCACATTGCCATGTGTCACTGTCCAGTGGCAATGACTGGTAACGCTTTTATTCAGTGCAGTCCCACACAAAGTAGGTTTAAAAACTGTAACTGAAGTCGCAAAATAACTAATCAAGTGAAATCACGCTTTAGCCCCTGTTTATCGGAATCCGTGTCAGCCATCACCTTGTGGTGCAAATTCCGAGTGCCGAGAACGGCAAGGTCAAGCTATTTGTAGTTGTTTGCCAAACTATTACGGCGTGCCACCAGCTTGCCGCCCAGAATGTACCACCAACTATGACTGTGCACCTAGCCTGGCGTGTCAGAACCAACGATGTGTCGATCCCTGCCCTGGCACCTGTGGTGCTTATGCAGAGTGCCGGGTAGTTAGTCACAGTTCCTTCTGCAGCTGCCAGCCTGGCTACACAGGCAATCCGTTTGTTCAATGCTACAGAATTAGTAAGTTTTCACAGCACAGCAAAAAAAAATATATAATTGACGCAACTGTTAAAACTATAGTGGAACCATTGCGAGATGTAACTCCTCAGGATCCATGCCAACCCTCACCTTGTGGTCCCAATAGTGAATGCCGTAGCAATGGAGGTACTCCCTCTTGTTCATGCCTGGAAAACTTCTTTGGAACCCCACCCAACTGCAGACCCGAGTGCTTATCCAACTCGGATTGCGCTTCATCGCAGATTTGCAGAAACAATCGTTGTACGGATCCTTGTCCGGGTCTTTGCGGCTTGAATGCTGAGTGCCGTGTAATTAGTCATAGCGCTATGTGCTTATGTCAATCAGGCTTTACCGGCGATCCATTCATTCTATGCAAGCAAATTCAATATGATCCACCTGAAGTGGCCCAACCATGCAATCCCAATCCTTGCGGTACATTTGCCGAGTGTCATCAACGAAATGGCATTGGCTCATGCCAATGCTTGCCCGAGTACTTTGGAAATCCCTACGAAGCTTGTCGACCAGAATGTGTCCTTGATTCAGATTGTGCATCTAATAGAGCCTGTGTTAATCAAAAGTGCCGCGATCCTTGTCCGGGAGCCTGTGGCTACAATGCCGAATGCTATGTTCGCAATCATTTGCCGACTTGTAATTGCCTCAACAATTATGTGGGCGATCCATATCGCTACTGCAGCTTAGAAGAGAAACGTAAGCAACTAATTGGTTTGCCTTCAACGCCATTAGAATACATTGCAATTCTTATTTAGCCATTCGCGAGTATGTTAATCCCTGCCAACCCTCACCGTGTGGTCCCAACAGTCAATGCAAAGAGCTCAATGAGCAGGCAGTCTGCTCTTGCTTACCCGAGTATGTGGGCAGTCCACCTGGCTGTCGTCCTGAGTGTACACTTTCATCAGAATGTAGCTTTGATAAGGCTTGCGTACAACATAAGTGTGTTGATCCTTGTCCAGGCGCTTGCGGCAGCAATGCACATTGTCATGCCACAAATCATGCTCCATTGTGTACGTGCCAGAGTGGATATACTGGAGATCCGTTCACCCGTTGTTATCCCATACCCCGTAAGTTATTTTATGTCAACGAGTTGTCCCACTTCTACTGACCCATTTATATGGTACCTTATCTTAGCGCCTCCCACTCAGCTGCAACATGAACCTGTGCGCGATCCCTGTCTGCCATCGCCTTGTGGAGCTAATGCTCAGTGTCGTCGGTTAAATGATCAAGCTGTGTGTAGCTGTCTGGCTGGTTACTTTGGAGTACCGCCGAGCTGTCGACCTGAGTGTACGCAGAGTGCCGAATGTCTGCCCAATTCAGCTTGCATAAACCAACGTTGCGTTGATCCTTGTCCTGGCTCTTGTGCCCACAATGCCATTTGTACTGTGCGAAATCATGTACCGAGCTGCCAGTGTCCTAACGGATTCATAGGTGATCCATTCACCTTCTGTCAGCGTGAGCCCCGTAAGAATAACAACACAGATGATATATCCAACATTTTCAACTATTTCGCCACTTTGTCAATAGCCAAACCCATCGTTCCCGATGACCCCTGTAATCCGTCACCCTGTGGATCTAATGCACAGTGTCAAAATGGCCAATGTACATGCATAGCCGAATATCAAGGAGATCCCTATGTGGGCTGCCGACCAGAGTGCGTGCTTAATACGGACTGTCCGCGTGATCGTGCATGCGTTCGCAACAAATGTATTAATCCCTGCCCAGGAACTTGTGCACCCAACGCCATATGCGATGTACTTAATCATATAGCCATGTGTCGCTGTCCGGACGGAATGATTGGCAATGCCTTCATTCAATGCAATACACCGCCTGTTCAAAATCAACCGCCTATAAATCCTTGTGCGCCCTCGCCATGTGGCCCCAACAGTCGATGCCGCGTTTTCAATGACAACGCCGTTTGCAGTTGCATTGAGAATTATGTAGGCACCCCACCTAATTGCCGGCCGGAATGTACACGGAATTCGGACTGCCTGCCAAGCTTGGCATGTCAGCAACAACATTGCATTGATCCGTGCCCAGGCACATGTGGCTATAATGCTATCTGCCAAGTAGTAAATCATGCACCAATATGTAGTTGTGCTGCACAATACATTGGAAACCCCTTCCTTGGCTGTACACCCATACCACCGCAGCGCGATATCATTCCTGTCAAGCAGCCCTGTCATCCCTCACCCTGTGGACCGTACGCCGAATGTCGTACTGTAGGGGATCAGGCCCAATGCAAATGTCTATCCAACTACATTGGACAACCGCCAAATTGTCGACCGGAGTGTGTCACTAATTCAGAATGCAACTTTGATCAAGCGTGCGTAAATCAGAAATGTGTGGATCCATGTCCAGGCTCTTGCGGCTCCAATGCCATCTGTCATGTGCTCAGCCATGTTGCCATGTGCTACTGCACTCCTGGCTATACAGGTGATCCCTTCACCATTTGCCGCCAAGAGCTCATAATTCAACATGAGGAGCGCATCCAGCCTTGTTATCCCGATCCGTGCGGCGCCAATGCGGTGTGTCGTCAGGAGGGAAACGCTGGATCTTGTCAATGCTTACCCGATTACCATGGCAATCCATACGAGGCTTGTCGACCTGAATGCGTCACTGATAGTGACTGTCCGTCGGACAAATCCTGTCAGCAATTGAAATGTCGCGATCCTTGTCCTGGTATATGCGGCCTAAATGCCGCTTGTCGCGTTCTTAACCATTTGCCCACATGTCATTGCTTATGCAATTTCGTTGGGGACCCATATCGTTATTGTCAGCTTCCCGAGAAACGTGAGTTTACAGCAAACCCAAAATCATATTCATATATGGATTCTAAAACCAATTTTGTCCTTTAGCAATTTTGAAAGAATATATAAATCCTTGTCAGCCTTCACCCTGTGGTCCCAATTCCCAATGTCTCGAAAAGAATGAACAAGCTATCTGCTCCTGTTTGTCAGAGTATGTCGGAACTCCTCCCAACTGTCGGCCCGAATGTGTAACCAGTGGCGAGTGTCCTTCGGATAAGGCCTGCGTTAATCAAAAGTGTCGAGATCCATGTCCTGGCGTTTGTGGTACAAACGCCGATTGCCGTGTTTACCATCATGCACCGATTTGCAGTTGCCGTCAAGGCTACCAGGGTGATGCATTCACGCGTTGCTATCCCGTCCCACGTAAGACTTACCGAATTATCTATATAGGCCCCATATTTCATATTTACTTACCCTGTTTACAGCCCCATCCCCTGTACAGTTGGATACTTATAAGAATCCTTGTATTCCATCGCCATGTGGTCAAAATGCCGAGTGCCGTGAACAGCATGGCACAGCTATTTGTAGTTGCATACGCAACTATTTTGGTAGCCCACCCAATTGTCGACCCGAATGTAGCATCAACGCGGATTGTGCCGCTCATCTGGCTTGTCAACAACAACGATGCCGCGATCCATGTCCAGGAGCATGTGGTTTTAATTCACAATGTGTGGTCATTAATCACATGCCAGTGTGTCAGTGTGCACCAGGATTAACTGGCAATCCCTTCGCTTCCTGTCAAGCTCCACCACCCAAACCACCTGTGCTGGCTGATGATCCCTGTCTGCATGTACAGTGTGGTGCCAATGCTGTTTGCCGCCAGGGACAATGCAACTGTCTACCCGATTTCCATGGTAACCCATTGATTGGTTGTCGGCCAGAGTGCATATTGAACACGGAATGCGCCCAGAATCGTGCATGCGTACGGCAAAAATGTATTGATCCATGCCCAGGCACATGTGGCTCAAATGCCATTTGCGAGGTACATAACCATGTGGCCATGTGCCACTGTCCAGCTGGAATGACAGGCAATGCTTTTGCACTGTGCTCACCATTGCCGCCACCACCGCCAATTCTTATATCAGATCCTTGTCAACCATCGCCATGCGGAGCAAATGCACAATGTCGTAACATAAATGGACAAGCCGTTTGCTCTTGTCTGCCACAATTCGTAGGAGTGCCACCATCTTGTCGTCCTGAATGTATTAGCAACACGGAGTGCCCGCTGCACTTAGCATGCCTGCAACAACGTTGCATTGATCCTTGTCCGGGTGCATGCGGCCAGAATACTGAGTGCAGAGTGCTAAATCACAGTCCAATCTGTCGTTGCATAAACTCTTACACGGGCAATCCCTTCATTGAATGTCATCAGCGGCCGGCACAACCAATTCAACATGATGTGATTGATCCCTGCAGGCCGTCGCCTTGTGGGCCCAATTCCGAATGCCGCAACGTTGGAAACAATGCTCAGTGCAGCTGCCTCATTGGATTTATTGGAACCCCGCCAAGCTGTCGACCCGAATGCGTAAGCAGCGCTGACTGCCCCACGAATCTGGCTTGCTTTGATCAGAAATGCCGGGACCCTTGTCCTGGTGTTTGTGGCAGCAATGCCGAATGCTATGTTATTAACCATACACCCATGTGCAACTGCATAAGTGGACACACTGGCAATCCATTCATCGGTTGCGACGTACAGCGGGACGTGGTCGAGCCTCTAACACCTTGTTCACCAAACCCATGTGGCTCAAATGCGATCTGTACCGAATCGAATGGTGCTGGAGCATGCCAATGCTTGCCAGAGTTTTATGGCAATCCCTATGTTGGCTGCCGACCGGAATGTGTTTTGAATTCAGATTGCCCCAGTCAGTTGGCATGTCTTAATCAGCACTGCCGCGATCCTTGTGCGGGTATATGTGGCCCCAATGCCATTTGTCATGTCCGTCATCATCTGCCTCAATGCAATTGCCTTAGTGGCTATGAGGGCAATCCTTATAGCTACTGTAGTGTCATACCCGAACGTAAGCTAATCCGTTACAGAATGCCTTCAACGCAGCGTATTTACCCAATGACTTTACAAATAGCTTTACGAGAACCTGTCCCAGTTCATCCCTGTCAGCCCTCGCCATGTGGACCCAACTCAAAATGCCACGAAGCAAATCAGCAGGCCGTTTGCAGTTGCCTACCTGACTTTATTGGCACACCACCAGGCTGCCGACCCGAATGTACCATTTCCAGCGAGTGTCCGCTAGACAAGGCCTGCAATAATCAGCATTGCATTGATCCCTGCCCTGGAGTCTGTGGCCGTAATGCTGTATGTCGCGTTATCAATCACAGTCCTCATTGCAGCTGTTCGCCTGGTTTTACGGGTGACGCATTTGCCGGATGTAGAACTATACGTAAGACGGTGTCCCCAGTTCATGTTATCCAACAATCCTAACCCAACAACTTTCAGCGCCCGCTATCACTTATGACTATCCAAAGGATCCCATTCGCGATCCCTGTGTACCGTCCCCATGTGGCACTTTTGGACAGTGTCACTCCGAACACGGTCAAGCTGTGTGCCGTTGTCTGCCAAATTACTATGGTGCTCCGCCCAATTGCCAGCCTGAATGTGTCATAAACGCCGATTGTGCTTCACATCTGGCCTGCATGAATGAAAAGTGTCGCGATCCTTGCCCCGGCTCCTGTGGCTTTGCTGCCCAATGTAGCGTCATCAATCATATGCCCATTTGCAGATGTCCCGTCGGCTATGAAGGAAATCCTTTCACTAGCTGCACGCCAATACCACCATCATATGAACCACCTCCACGCGATGCCTGCAATCCCTCACCTTGTGGCTCGAATGCCATTTGTACCAATGGACAATGCTCGTGTCTCCCCGAGTTCTATGGCAATGCCTACATAGGCTGTCGACCCGAATGTGTTCTTAACTCAGACTGTGCACGCGACAAAGCATGCCAGGGCAGCAAATGCGTTGATCCATGTCCGGGTGCATGTGGCGTGGGTGCTGTTTGTGAAGTTCGCAATCATGTGCCAATGTGCCACTGTCCGCCAGGCACATCGGGCAATGCATTTGTGCAGTGTGCTTTAGTACAACGTAGGTTTCATCGGGTATATCTCCAAAATTTGCATTTCCCTAATGTATATTCCCAAATTTAGCTGATCCGATCGTGCCCGCCAATCCATGCCATCCCACACCCTGTGGCAGCAATTCTCAATGTCGTGTGGCAAACGAGCAGGCCGTGTGCTCCTGCCTGCCAGATTTTTATGGAACACCCCCGCACTGTCGACCCGAGTGCACCATCAATTCAGACTGTGCCCCTCATTTGGCTTGCCAAAATCAACATTGCCGCGATCCCTGTCCTGGGGCTTGTGGTCAAAATGCACTCTGCCAAGTCATTCGTCATACACCACATTGCAGTTGTCCGGCTGGATATACAGGCAACGCGTTTGCCCTGTGTCAACGACTGCCGCCGCCTCCAATTGTACAGCGTGATCCAGTCAATCCTTGCCAGCCGTCACCGTGTGGTGCCAATGGAGTGTGCACACCCTCACCAAATGGCAGTCAAGCGCAATGCAAGTGCGTGGAAAACTTTATTGGAACCCCCCCTAACTGCAGACCTGAATGTGTTACTTCAGCGGAGTGCTCCAACCAATTGGCATGCATTGGACAAAAGTGTCGCGATCCTTGTCCTGGTGTCTGTGGCCAGGCTGCAACATGTCAAGTGATCAGCCATGTGCCATCTTGCATTTGCATAGCTGATTATATTGGCGACCCTTTCACGAAATGCTATCCACGTCCGCCACTTGAACAAGACCAAATTAATCCATGTTCTCCAAGTCCTTGTGGTAACAATGCTGTCTGCAAGCAACAGGGTAGAGTTGGTGCTTGTCAATGCTTGCCTAACTATTATGGAAATCCCTACGAAGGATGTCGACCCGAATGTGTCCTGAACTCCGATTGTTCCAGCCACTTGGCCTGCCTTAATCAACATTGTCGTGATCCCTGCCCCGGCAGCTGTGCGCCCAATGCTCAGTGCCAAGTCGTCAACCATGTTCCCCTCTGCAGCTGCTATCCTAACTACTTTGGCGATCCATATCGTCATTGCCAACTGCGTCAGGCAGAACGTAAGCATTCTCAGCATCCGTTGTCCAAAATTTGTACTAACGCAATGAACAATGTATTATTTGCACCTACTTGCACTCACCCCACAGCCATCAAACTGATATATGTGAATCCCTGCGAGCCCTCGCCCTGCGGTCCTAATGCACAGTGCATGGAATTGCAGGGTAATGCAATTTGTAATTGTCTGCCAGATTATTTTGGTACGCCACCCACCTGTCGACCCGAATGTGTAACGAATTCTGAGTGTCCCACTGACAAGGCGTGTATCAATCAGAAGTGTCAAGATCCTTGTCCCGGTGTATGTGGCTATAATGCCATCTGTCAAGCCGTACACCACCGGGCCCATTGCTCTTGTCTCCCAGGCCAGACTGGCAATGCATTTGTGCGTTGCTTACCAATAACTGAGCCCATTGTGGCGCGCGAACCGTACCGTAATCCGTGCATACCTACTCCATGCGGACAAAATGCCCATTGTCGAGTGATCAATGGCCAGGCAATCTGTAGTTGTCTGTCCGAATATTATGGCACGCCCCCACACTGCCAACCCGAATGTACACGAAACTCTGATTGTGCCGCTCATCGGGCGTGCATAAATGAGAAGTGTCGGGATCCATGTCCAGGCGCTTGTGGCCTTTACGCCCAGTGTACTGTTTTAAATCATGTGCCCAGCTGCACATGTCCAAGCGGCTATATTGGCGATCCATTCCATCGCTGTTATCCAGCACCACCCAATCCCACTCCAATTGCCGATGATCCTTGCCAACCATCACCTTGTGGTGTTAATGCCCAGTGTGCGGGCGGCAAGTGCAGCTGCTTGCCCCTTTACCAGGGCGATCCGTATGTGGCGTGTCGTCCAGAATGTGTGTTGAGCACGGAGTGTGCCTTAGACAAATCTTGTGTGCGAAATCGGTGCGTAGATCCCTGTCCTGGCACTTGTGGTTATGGCGCCATATGTGAAGTCCATAATCATGTGGCAATGTGTCACTGTCCAAGTGGCTTACAGGGTAATCCATTCATTTTATGTCAAGCTCCGCAACGTCAGATATCCTCAGCCCCACCGCCACTTCAGCCATGCCAACCATCGCCATGTGGGGCGAATGCAATTTGTCACCCATCTGGAAATCAGGCGATCTGTAGTTGTCTGCCAGGCTATTATGGCAGTCCACCAACTTGCCGGCCTGAGTGCACAACTAATGCAGAGTGCTCTCTAAGCTTAGCATGCATTAATCTGCGCTGTCGCGATCCCTGTCCAGGAGTTTGCGGTCATCGTGCCGAATGCCATGTCATAAATCACAGGCCTCAGTGTGTATGCCCTTCAGGCTTCACGGGTAGTCCGTATGTACAGTGCCAACCAATAAAACCAGTCGCAATCCAACGTGAGCCACTTAATCCATGCGTTCCCTCGCCCTGCGGCCCTCATTCCCAGTGTAGCAGTGATCAGAGCGTAGCAACTTGTCGATGTCTACCCGAATATGTAGGCGTGCCACCCTACTGTCGTCCCGAGTGCATATCCAATACGGATTGCCCTAGCGATCGATCATGCATTAATCGCAAGTGTCAGGATCCTTGCCCTGGTCTGTGCGGCTTCAACGCGATATGTCGAACCAGCAATCATCAGCCCAATTGTGTGTGTGCCCCTGGACTTACTGGAAATCCCTTTACTTCCTGTCAATCGCCACACCCACCCTCAATGCCACCTCCCGCAACGACGGCTATACAAACTCCACAGTATGAACAGCCTGTTATTAATCCATGTGAGCCCAATCCTTGTGGCGCCAATGCGCTATGTAGTCACCACCGAGGCGTTGGCTCTTGTAGCTGCCTGCCTGATTACTACGGCAACCCCTATGAAGCCTGTCGTCCCGAATGTATACTCAACAGCGACTGCCCCTCGCACAGAGCTTGTGTACAGCAGAAATGCCGCGATCCTTGCCCTGGCACATGTGCCTTTAATGCAGAATGTCGTGTAGTTGATCACCTGCCGCAATGCAGTTGCTTTAGCGGCTATACTGGCAACCCACTGATACACTGCAGGCCTCTACCAACAGTAGAGCAATGTAAGCGACCACTTGCAAGGAATTATCATAACATGTGTAACAAATTTATATTTATCTTTAACTCAGCACCTGTAAGTTACCCAAATCCCTGCGTACCATCACCTTGTGGCCCTAATGCTCAGTGCCGTGAAAGCAACGAACAAGCTATTTGCTCTTGCCTTCCTGATTTCTATGGTAGCCCACCCTATTGCCGACCCGAATGTACTTTGAACTCTGAGTGTCCCTACGATAAGGCTTGTGTACAGCATAGGTGTATTGACCCCTGTTCAGGAACCTGTGGTGTTAATGCTGAATGCCGTGTTCATCACCATAATCCCATTTGCTATTGTCAGCTATCATACACAGGAAATCCGTTTACTCGTTGTTACAAGACTCAAACAAGTAAGCTTCAATGTATTACAACGTGCGGTAGTTCATTTAATAATAATTTTTTGGAAAATATAGCCCCAACAGTTGTCGCACATCCAATTTATGACACACCAGCTCCACCCTATCCGATTATCATACCTGGCGTGATTTATGTTTCTGCTGACCCACAACCAACTACAAATTATATTCCATCGCCACCACAATATATTAAACCGGAGGTTCTTAATATACCTTCGGAGTCCCAACCAACGTATCCAACAACACATACACCTGTATTTGTAAAAACACCAAGGCCAGCAGCTCCAAATCAACAGCCGGGAGTTGTCAACATACCTTCTGTACCACAACCAACTTATCCATCACCCCAGCCTCCACACTATGATGTCAATTATCCATCTCCCCAACCAACTCCTAAGCCTGGAATAGTGAATATTCCTTCGATACTGCAACCGTCACCACCAGCTCCACAGCCACCTATATTTGTTCCGTCACCTCCGGTTTCTTCAACACCTTCACCACAGCCGGGAGTTGTTAACATACCGTCTATACCACAACCAACTTATCCTTCACCTCAGCCTCCACACTATGATGTCAATTATCCATCTCCGCAACCAACTCCTATATTTGTTCCGTCACCTCCGGTTTCTTCAACACCTTCACCACAGCCGGGAGTTGTTAACATACCGTCTATACCACAACCCAGCTATCCATCACCCCAGCCTCCACACTATGATGTCAATTATCCATCTCCGCAACCAACTCCTAAACCTGGAGTAGTAAATATTCCTTCGATACCGCAATCGTCACCACCAGCTCCACAACCCCCTATATTTGTTCCGTCACCTTCGGTTTCTTCAACACCTTCACCACAGCCAGAGATTATTTATATAACTTCCGTGCCGCAAACACCACCACAACCTGCTCCAACTACTCAGCCTCCTCGACCAGCTATATATGATGTATACTATCCGCCACCACCACAAATACCAGGAGTTATTAATATTCCGTCCCTACCACGGCCAATACCTCCGACACCTTCACAAGCACCAATTTATATTCCGTCACCGACACCCTCATCGCCAGTCTCACAGCCAGGTGTTATCAATATACCATCTGTTGCTCAACCTAATTTCCCGACACATCAAACACCGATCTATGATGTGAGCTATCCAGCACAACCGACACCAATGCAAAAACCTGGAGTTGTGAATATCCCCTCCGTAACGAATCCGTCACCTACAACTACGCAGCCTCCAATATACGTTCCTTCTCCTTACGCAACTTCAACACCTGCAACAAAACCGGAAGTTATTAATATACCATCCGTACCTCAACCAGCATATCCGACGCCTCAGCCTCCATTATATGATGTTAATCGCCCCAATGAGCACCCAATCATGAAACCTGTTGTTGTCAATATTCCTTCGATACCACAACCGGCACCAACAGCTAGTCAGCCTCCTATATTCAGTCCATCTCCAATAACACCAATACCTGTAAAACAACCAGAAGTTATCAATATACCTTCCGTAGTAAAACCGACGTACCCAACACCTCAAGGACCGATCTACAATGATCGATACACAACACCTCAACCACCCTCTGAAACACCTAGTGTGGTGAATATTCCTTCTTTCCCTGCACCATATACAACTTCCCGTCCAATCAATGACGTTGCGATACCTAGTGTAGATATTAATCCATGCTACCCATCGCCATGTGGTCCATATTCGCAATGCCACAATCGCTTCGGAGTTGCTGCGTGCATTTGTCTACCCAATTATAGTGGAACACCGCCTAATTGCCGTCCAGAGTGTATTGTGCATTCGGATTGTCCTGCTCACCTAGCATGTATAAATGAAAAGTGTCGCGATCCTTGTTTAGGATCTTGTGCATACAATGCGCTATGTAGGGTGCACAACCATATACCCAACTGTTTCTGTCCAGAAGGTTTCACCGGCGATCCATTTAATTCATGTCGACGAACGCCGCCAATAATCGTGCAACGTGAACCCACCGTAACAAAAGATCCTTGCTATCCGTCGCCTTGTGGGGCAAATGCTGTTTGCAACAATGGTATATGCAGTTGTCTGAGTGAATATCAAGGAAATCCTTATGTGAGTTGCCGTCCCGAATGTGTGCTGAATACGGACTGTGCAAGTGATAAGGCGTGTAGACGGCAAAAGTGTGTGGATCCTTGTCCGGGCACTTGTGGAGAAAATGCTGTCTGCAAAACATACAATCATATTGCCTCCTGCTCATGTCCAGAACAAATGCATGGAGATGCCTTTGTACGCTGTGATCCAATACCATTGCCAATACCAAAGCCGCCTGTTTCAACTGTCAGTACAGTTCCGGCTGTCATACCACCACGCCCGCCAGTCTATCCTTGCCATCCCTCACCGTGCGGACCGAATGCTCAGTGCCGTGCTTATCATGAGCAAGCGGTTTGCTATTGCCTACCTGGATATCTCGGCACACCACCCTCTTGCCGTCCAGAGTGTAGTAGTAATTCAGACTGCGCTCTTGACAAGTATTGTTCGAACCTTAGATGCCAAGATCCCTGTCCAGGTGCCTGTGGCTTCCGCGCTATATGTCATGTAAACAACCACAGTCCCATATGCGCGTGTCCGCCCTCGCTAACGGGCAATCCATTGATAGCTTGCCAGCCCATAGGTATGCCACATCTATTTCATAACGTCCAAACAATATCTAATTCAGTTTTTTCAGTATTACCACCTGCAAAGGATCCCATCGCAGTAAATCCTTGCCAACCATCTCCTTGCGGCCCCTACTCAGAATGTGTGGTCATACAGCACGGTGCACAGTGCACATGTCTCAGAGAATTCATTGGTACACCGCCACACTGTAGACCTGAATGTGTTAACAGTGCCGATTGTGCCACTGATAAGACTTGTCATAATCGCAAGTGCATTGACCCTTGCCCTGGTAGCTGCGGTCATTTGGCCTTGTGCCGTGCTATAGCTCACAGCCCGCATTGTTACTGCCCGCCAGGCTATGAAGGTGATCCTTATACCGCATGCATGCGACCCAAGCCACCTCCAGTGCCGACTTTACCCAGACCGGTGCCATGTAATCCAAACCCTTGTGGTGCAAATGCCATTTGTCAGCCGCAATATGACCAAAGCGTCTGCAAATGTCTGCCTGAATACTATGGTAATCCCTATGAGATCTGCCGACCCGAGTGCACTCGAAATTCGGATTGTGGTAACAATCTGGCCTGTGCAAATGAAAAATGTCGCGTTCCCTGCCCTGGTGTCTGTGGTCTCAATGCCTACTGTCAGGTTATCAATCATGTGCCTGTCTGCGAATGCCATCCCCATCATGTGGGCAATCCCTACCACAGCTGTCACTATATCCAACAAGAACGTAAGAACAACTTGGAGATATTACAAACCGAATTAATAATGCCACTAAATACTATCCCCTATGCCTCAATTTCTCTTCGCTCTGTTGAACACTGCAGTACTCAATTGAATGGGTTGTCTTTTTATAATACTAAAACGCAAAATGCTTATGATCTTCTCATCAATTTTATGACTTGTTTGCTTTTCTTTCGATATGCCTTTTAACCCCTTAAACATTAAATTAAGCAATTTTTTGTTATGTCAGATCGCCATAGCTCTACGCGCCTGCCTTGCGTTGTCTTCAGGCTGATTCTATCTCAACAAATAATATTTAAGGCTCTACGATTACCACTTGGTAACCAGCCCCTTGCCCTTGGACCCTCGCTGAAATTGTCTCTTTAATCATCGCATCATTGAACACTTTAACTCATAATACTTTTGTGAGACATATCTTGTGAAATAGCTAAAATGCTTTTGATTTGCTTTGTGCTTTTAGAAAATGCTTTGCTTTACTTTTGCCATCAAACACGTATGCGAGCTAATCCCAACTTTTCCCCCATTTAGCCACGCCCCCAGTTTATAAAAATCCATGTGAGCCGTCGCCTTGTGGCGCCAATTCTCAGTGCCGTGAATCACAGGGTCAAGCGATTTGCAGCTGCCTGCCTCAGTTTATTGGTACTCCACCTGCATGTCGTCCAGAGTGTGTCATCAGTGCCGAGTGTGCCGCGGATAAGGCTTGTATCAACCAGAAGTGTGAAGATCCCTGTCCTGGTGCCTGTGGCCTCAATGCACAATGTCATGTGCGCAACCATAGTCCGCTATGCTCCTGCCAGTCTGGTTACACAGGCGATGCCTTCGTCCGCTGTTTCCCGATACCACCACCCAAAGAGGCAGATCAACCTAAGCAGCCACCTACGCCGTGTGTGCCATCGCCATGTGGACCCAATTCGCAGTGCCGCGAACAGAATGGAGGCGCCAGTTGTAGCTGCTTGCCCAACTTTATTGGCGCAGCGCCCAACTGCCGCCCTGAGTGCACCATTAATGCCGAGTGTCCCAGTAATTTGGCTTGCATCAATGAGAAATGTCGCGAACCCTGCCCTGGTGCCTGCGGCTTTGCAGCACAGTGCAATGTAATTAATCATACGCCCACATGTTCGTGCCCTGCTGGTTATACAGGCGATCCCTTCATTAGCTGTCGTCTCTTGCCACCCACGCCGCCACCGGCACCAACAAGTATGCTCAGTCCCTTACAATTCACGGTAGTTTCCCCTAACAGTAAACCCAACTCTTTTATAGTTCCTGATGATCCATGCAATCCCTCACCATGTGGCAGTAATGCACAGTGCCGCAATGGTGTATGCTCATGCCTGCCCGAATATCAGGGCGATCCCTACATCGGTTGTCGCCCGGAATGCGTGTTGAACTCCGAGTGCCCCAGAAATCGTGCATGTGTACGCAATAAGTGCATTGATCCGTGCCCTGGAACATGTGCCCAAAACGCACTTTGCGATGCCATTAATCACATTGCCATGTGTCGCTGTCCCGAGCGCATGACTGGCAATGCGTTTATTGACTGTACACCGGTGCGGGATGAGCCAAATATCAATCCGTGTCAACCATCGCCATGTGGAGCCAATTCGCAGTGCATTGAACGGAATGGAAACGCGATCTGCTCCTGCATCACTGGATATCTGGGTCAACCTCCCAATTGTCGCTTGGAGTGCTACACCAGTTCGGACTGCTCCCAACAGCACGCGTGCATCAACAACAAGTGCGTGGATCCCTGCCCAGGACAATGCGGCCTAAACGCAGTTTGTCAAGCTGTACAGCATCGTGCTCACTGCGAATGCATCACTGGTTACACCGGAAATGCCTACAGGCTCTGCAATCCTATTGTTATAGAACGCAAGCCAGAAAAGGCTCGAGATCCATGCTACCCATCGCCCTGCGGACCAAATGCTCAGTGTACGAACGAGAACGGTCAAGCGCGTTGTAGTTGCCTGCCGGAGTTCCAAGGCACGCCGCCCCGTTGCCGACCCGAGTGTTCTTACAATGACGAGTGCCAAAATACTTTGGCCTGTATAGGTCAGAAGTGTCGCGATCCATGCCCCGGAAGCTGTGGTCAAAATGCTATCTGTCGAGTAACCCTACATACGCCCAATTGCCATTGTCCTGCCGGTATGACGGGTGATCCGTTCCGACTTTGCCAGCAAGTTCAACAACGTAAGAACCAATTCTCCAACCAAACAAGTTTGCATATTGTAGATAGGCAGGGCGACCTCTCTTCACCACCCCAACCCACCCAAAATCTAGAACTAATTTATACATTTTATATTGATTTCACAGTTGTGCCAACGCCAGTGCCTACGCCGAAGAATCCATGCCAGCCATCGCCGTGTGGCAGCAACACCGAGTGCCGCCTGCGAGGCGAAAGCTATGTTTGTGAGTGTATACAGGAGTACATAGGCAATCCGTATGAGGGCTGTCGTCCGGAATGCGTTGGCAACTCGGAATGTCCAGCCAATCGTGCCTGCATACGCAACAAGTGTGCTGATCCTTGCCCCGGCACCTGTGGACTGGAGGCTGTATGCAACGTCAACAATCACATTCCAATCTGCTCCTGCCCGACGGGCTATACGGGCAACGCCTTTGTGCAATGCACACGACAGGTGACACCACCGCCGGCCTCGGATCCATGCTATCCATCCCCGTGCGGCCTAAACTCAGTGTGCCGCGTGCAACGAGATCAAGCTGTTTGTGAATGCCTGCCCGGTTTCTTTGGTAACCCATTGGGCCAGGGCTGTCGACCTGAATGCACACTCAGCTCGGATTGCGCCAAGGATCGAGCTTGTGTAAATAATAAGTGCGTCGATGCCTGCATTGGAGTGTGTGGATATGGCGCTGTCTGTCAGACGATCAATCACAGTCCGATCTGCTCCTGTCCCGACAACATGATAGGAAATCCATTTGTGCAATGCGAAGCGCCACGTAATGTTGACGTTGATCTGTGCCAGCCATCGCCATGTCGCAGCAACGGTATCTGCCGTGTACACAACGGTGCTGCCACTTGCAGCTATCCGGAGTGTGTGACGAACGAAGACTGCTCCCGGGATCGCGCTTGCGTCAGTCAGAAATGCCGTGATCCGTGTCAGCAGGCGTGTGGCCTCAACGCCATTTGTCGTGTTATCAATCACAAGGCCATTTGCAGCTGCCCGCCAGAGTTTTATGGCTCACCGTATGCTCAGTGTGTGCGTCAAGTGCCTCAATTGGATCCGCCTAAGCCGGAGTGCACCAGCGATAGCGAGTGCACCAACGATAAGGCGTGCATCAACCAATTCTGCCGAAATCCTTGCGAGCAATCCAATCTGTGTGCACAGCAGGCACGCTGCCACGTGCAGCTCCATCGTCCGCTCTGCGTATGCAACGAAGGCTACACTGGAAACGCACTGCAACACTGCTATCTGCTGGGCTGTCGCTCCGACGGAGAGTGTGCACCCACCGAGGCCTGCGTCAACGAGCAGTGTGTGGATCCCTGCACCTTCACTCAATGTGGCACTGGAGCTGTCTGTCGCGCGGACTTCAATCATCGTGCCCGCTGTCACTGCCCTGACGGCTATCGTGGCAATCCTCTTCTGCGGTGCGAGCGACCCGAGTGTCGCAACGACAATGAATGCGCCTTCCATTTGGCCTGTCGCAACGAGCGCTGCGAGGATCCCTGCAATTGCGGCATTGGCGCCCAGTGTCGCGTGGACAATCATCGTGCACAATGCCGTTGCCCAGCCGGCTACAGCGGCAATCCAGCAGTACGCTGTGAATTGCTGCCGGTCAAGCCCGAAGGCTGCACCATGGATGCGGAATGTCCCAGCAGATTGGCCTGCTTCAATGGCGAGTGCAAGAACCCATGCGATGTAACCCATCCATGTGGAGCGAATGCCATCTGCGTGGTCGTCGACACACTGCCCCTGCGCACAATGATCTGTCGCTGTGAGTCTGGCTACGTGGGTGATGCGGACATTGGATGTCGCAAAGGTAAGCTCACAACAAACAAGCAAACAATTCCAGACAGGATTGTAACTCTTATATTGCTTTATGTCGAGTTTGCTTCTATCATTACAGCCAAAAATATAAAAATAATTATTCTTGTAAATTTTGTTCAATATATGCTCCCCGTTCTATCCGTTTGCAGAGTTGCACATTGTACATTTTATATGCACTCTATAACCTCTATATAACTGCAGCACGCTCACTTGAATTCCCACCTTAGCCAATTCGCAACTAATCTACGATCTTTACTTCATATAGAACCCGTACGTGACCAAGGCTGCGTATCACACGATCAGTGCCAGGACACCGAGGCCTGCCGTCGAGGCAATTGTGTCAATCCTTGCTTGGATGCTTCGCCCTGTGCGCGTACTGCTGAATGCCTGGCGCAACATCATCGAGCCATCTGCAGCTGCCCGAAGGGCACTCAAGGTGATCCATTCACCAACTGCTACCAACCACGTAAGTGACTTTTAGACCTTCACAGTACGTTCATTTTACTAAGCTCCACTCTTTTTATGCAGCACAAATCACAGCTGGTTGTGCTCACGACTCGGAATGCACGCCCACAACAGCTTGCATTAACAAACGCTGCCAGGATCCGTGTGCTGAGGCCAATCCTTGTGCTGGAAATGCCGAGTGCCGTGTGCAAAACTCACGACCCATTTGCTACTGTCCCGCTGGTTGGGGTGGTGATCCACAAGTGCAATGCTTCAAGCGTAAGTATTGACTAGCACACAAATCAAATTGTATCTAATTGATGATTCATATAATTTGTACAGCCGAATGCAAGATAAATGCAGATTGTCCCTATGACAAGGCCTGCCTTAATGAGAACTGCGTCAATCCGTGCACCCACGGCCAGGTGCGTTGCGGCAGCGGCGCCGAATGCCTGCCACAGAATCACCAGGCTGTCTGCCGCTGTCCCGAAGGCACCCAGGGCAGTCCCTTCATCGCTTGCATCACTGGCCACTGCCAGTACAACGAGGACTGTGCGGATAACGAAGCCTGCGATCGCTTGAATCGCATTTGCCGTCCAGTCTGCGAACAGGACACATGTGCTGTGAATGCTCTCTGTGTGGGACGTCGTCATCAGCCACGCTGTGAGTGCCGTCCAGGCTACCAGGGTAATCCGTTCGTGTTGTGCGAACAGCCCAAACAGGATCCACAGCCACAGTGCACCCAAGACGCTGACTGTCCATCGAAATTGGCTTGCATCAATCAGCGCTGTGCAAATCCATGTGCCACGCCGCACGTGTGCAGCCCACAGCAGAGCTGTGCCGTTCTGGATACCCTACCACTGCGCACCATGATCTGCAAGTGTCCCAGCGACACTGTCACTGACAATTCCGGCAATTGTGTGCCCATCCAGCCAGCTATCGTCTCTGGTGGCTGTCAGCACAATGCAGAGTGCGCCAGCTCTGAGGTGTGCCTGCATGGCAGTTGCCTGGATGCCTGCCATCTGGAACGTTGCGGTGTGAATGCTCAGTGCAATGCACGCGATCATTATGCACAATGTAGCTGTCCAGCTGGATACCAGGGTAATCCACGCATCGAATGTTATACTACGGACATTGCCATACCGAAGATTCCTGGCCCCGAATGCACACGCAATGATGATTGCCCTCGAGATAAGAACTGCCAGAACGAACGCTGTGTGAATCCATGCGTGGCTGATGCCTGCGGCCTGGGCGCCTACTGTCATGTGCAGAATCGCGCCGCCATTTGCCGTTGCCCGCCTGGCTACACGGGAGACGCACGCACTCGTTGTCTGCCACGTAAGTTAACATAAGACGAAAGTTTTTACTTTCAGCTTGATCTAATTCTGACTCTCTTGCAGCGTCGGATGTCATCACTGTGGGTTGCAAGTCGAACTCGGATTGCCCCATTGCGGAGGCGTGCATCAATGCGCAGTGCATTAATCCATGCAACTGTGGACCCAACGCCGAGTGTATTGTCAAGAATCATCATCCCATTTGCTATTGCAAACCTGGCTTCTCAGGCAATGCCCAATTCGGCTGCGCGCCCATTGGCTGCCAGTCGGACGATGAGTGCGCCGGTGACAAGCAGTGCACGAATCATGAGTGTGTCAATCCCTGCCTGATCGCTGATCCTTGTGCTCTGAATGCTGAATGCTATGGCCGCAATCATCGCGCTAGCTGCCGCTGCCCCACTGGCCTAGAGGGAGATCCGTTTGTGCGCTGTGTGCGTCTGGAATGTCGCTCGGACTACGATTGCGCCTCCAATTTGGCCTGCGTTGCCAACCAGTGCGTGAATCCTTGTGCTCAAAGTCCGTGCGCTCAGAATGCCATCTGCCAGGCACTACAGCATCGTGCCGTGTGTCGCTGTCCCGAGCAAATGCCATTGGGCAATCCCTATGCCTACTGCGAGCGTCGGCCCGTGGAGCCAGTGTGCCGCGATGACGGTGACTGCCCCAGCGGTTTGGCCTGCATCGATGCCAAGTGCAAGAATCCATGTACCGAACTGTCGCCCTGCGCACGCAGCGCTCACTGCAGTGTCTTGGACAGCGTGCCCGTACGGACCATGGTCTGTGAGTGTCCCGAATCGCAAGTACCGGATGCCAGCGGCGAATGCCGTCAACTGGTACTACAGAGTCCGCCAGGCTGCGAGAGTGATTCGGATTGTGGCGATCAGGAGGCCTGTGTCAATCGCCAGTGCCGCAATCCCTGCAACTGTGGCTCCAACGCCGTGTGCCAGGTGCAACAACATCGCGCCGTGTGCAGCTGCCAGGATGGCTTTGAGGGCAATCCCTATGCCGTCTGTCGCTCCATTGGCTGTCGTGTCGACGGCGAATGCGACTCCGGCAAGGCCTGCATCAATGGCAACTGTATCAATCCCTGTCTGGTCAACGATCCCTGCGGCCCCAATGCCGAGTGCTACGTACAGTCGAGTCGTGCCCAGTGCCGCTGTCACAGCGGCTATCGCGGCAATCCCTACGAGCGCTGCCGCGTGATTGGCTGCACTAGCAATAATGACTGCCCCACGGACAAGACCTGCCAGAACGAGCAATGCGTAAATCCATGCGTCTACCGTAATATCTGTGCGCCACGCGCCGAATGTCGTCCACAGAACCATATGGCCGTATGCCGCTGCCCATCAGATTTCATTGGCAATCCCTATGTGGACTGCCGGCCGGAGCCGCAACCTGTCTGCAAACTGGATACGGACTGTCCTGCTCGATTGGCCTGCATCAACGAACAATGCGTCGACCCCTGCTTGGTACTGGAGCCCTGTCAACGACCTGCCCAGTGTCAAGTGACCCCTACGGCACCTGTACGCACCATGATCTGCATCTGTCCAGATGGTTACATAAGCAGTGGCAGTGGTAGCTGCAAGCCTACCACTAGCGTCGTGAAAGTAGGCGGCTGCATCTCCGACTCCGACTGTCCGGCCGAAAAATCTTGCGTGAGCGGCATTTGCCGTAATCCATGCAATTGCGGAGTGAATGCCGAGTGTCGCATCAAGGATCACAAGCCAGTGTGCACCTGTCGCCAGGGCTACGAGGGCAATCCTGAATTCGAATGTGCCAAAATCGAATGCACCATCAATTCCGAGTGCCCAGCAACACACGCATGCCGTAATCAGCTCTGCATACCCGCCTGCCAGGGCGAGCAATGTGGACCCAATGCCGAATGCCTGGCCATAAATCATCGGGCCGTGTGTGAGTGTGCTCCTGGACATGGCGGAAATGCGCGTCTGGGTTGCACACCGCTTGGCTGCCGTAACGACGACGAATGCCCATCCGACAAGGCCTGCGTCAATGGCAAGTGCACCAATCCATGCGAGACCACTGCCATATGCGCCAACGACGAGCTCTGCAAGGTTTATCAGCATAAGCCCCAATGTGCCTGCCCGCCCGGCACTGTGCCCGGTCGCAATGGCTGCGAGCAGGAACGAGTCGTACCCATTTGTACCAGCGATGGCGACTGTCCAACTCAACGCGCCTGTCTGCGAGGCGAATGTGTGAATCCCTGCAATGCGACGCATCCGTGCGGCGTGAATGCCGAATGCCGCGTCCTGGATACGCTACCTGTACGCACCATGATCTGTGAATGCCTCGAGGGCTACACCGGCAATGCAGCCGTGCAGTGCGACAAGCGCTCGCTGTGCGTCATCGAGAAGGGCTTTGTGCGCGATGTCGATGGTCAGTGCGTGTGCCCACCTGGCAGCGCTCTCGACATCTACGAGTACTGCACACCCTGCCTGGTGGAGCAAGGCTATCGTATCGATGAAAGCGGCCATTGCGTGTGCGCCTTGGAGCGCGGCATGGTAATCGATGAACGTGGTCGCTGCACATGTCCCATTGACCTGGGCTATCGTCTGACACCACTGGGCGAATGCGTGCCCGTTGAGCAGCCCGAATGCGTCACCAATGAGCAATGTGCGGACAATCGCTTCTGCAATCCGGAAACAAAGACCTGCGAGGATCCCTGCCTGACCAAGACGTGTGGTGTGAATGCCTTCTGTAATGCTGTGAATCATCATGCCCAATGCCAATGCATCACCGGCTACACGGGTAATCCCGAGCTGCACTGCAATCACACCAACTTCCGTACTGACTTCCCGCGGCCCGACATGGTTGTCAGTTGCTTGGCTGATGGAGTACAAGTGGAGATCCACATAACCGAACCCGGCTTCAACGGCGTACTGTATGTGAAGGGACACAGCAAGGATGAAGAATGCCGTCGTGTTGTCAATTTGGCTGGTGAAACGGTGCCACGTACCGAACTCTTCCGCGTACACTTTGGCAGCTGCGGCATGCAAGCCGTTAAGGATGTGGCCAGCTTTGTCTTGGTCATACAGAAGCATCCCAAGCTGGTTACCTACAAGGCGCAGGCCTACAACATCAAGTGCGTTTACCAGACCGGCGAGAAGAACGTGACGCTAGGCTTCAACGTATCCATGCTGACAACAGCCGGCACAATTGCTAATACCGGACCACCGCCGATCTGCCAAATGCGAATAATTACCAATGAAGGCGAGGAAATAAATTCTGCAGAGATTGGCGACAATCTACGCTTGCAAGTGGACGTTGAGCCAGCCAGTAAGTAGCTAAAACTTTTTTTGTAATATCGAAAAACTCATTTCTTGAATTCTCTTTTGTGCTCTGCTCATCTAGCTATTTATGGCGGCTTCGCGCGCTCCTGCATAGCCAAGACAATGGAGGATAATGTACAGAACGAATACCTCGTAACCGATGAGAATGGCTGTGCCACGGACACAAGCATCTTTGGCAACTGGGAATACAATCCGGATACCAATAGTCTGCTGGCCAGTTTCAATGCCTTTAAATTCCCCTCCAGTGACAACATACGGTTCCAGTGCAACATACGCGTTTGCTTCGGCAAATGCCAGCCGGTCAACTGCGGCGGCTACAATGCCTTTGGACGCAGGCGTCGCTCCATTGCGGACAACTCAAGCGATACAACGGCAATTGCCACAAGCACTGGCGTGGAGGGTCAGCTGCGCGAGGAGATCACCATCTCATCCAATGCCATATTGACATTCGAGAAACGCAGCGGTCCAGGCCTGAATGATGCCAACAGTGAGTACCCCTACTACTACCTACTTATTCACCTACCTATTCATGGTTTCCAACATCATACTCTCTGTTTATTTCAATGCAGTCAAACCTGCGGCTCAGCGTGTTGAGGATATTTGCGTGTCCATGGTGGGCTTGATCATAGCCTTGGTTATCACGGCACTGCTGGCGCTTGTCGCCGTCGCCGTGGCCGTCTCCTGCTGGCTAATGGCCTACAGAAGAAGACCCAAGACGTTGGCACCCTTGCCACATCCTCCAGAGTTCCCCAATCCGCTGTTCGCCAACCCGGACGCTGCGCCCGAACCAACACCGGACTATATCTCCTAAACTGTAAAGTAACTAAACACAGACAGAACAACAACAAACCTAGCTATAATTTTAGTTTGTAACAAAAATATTTGAGATGCTCGTGCAAAAAGCTAGAAACGAAATTAAATTTCGCGCAACAAATGCAATGAAATGACAGAAAGAAAAAGCAAAAGTACAGTTGTGAGCAGAAAATGTAGTCGTCAGCGTTTATGAAACACTGACGCAACTAACAAAACGAAACATTAAAAGAAATTGTAAAAAGCAAAACGACATGATAGAAATGCCACAAAGCGCATTGCAAACATTTATTTAATAATTTAAGAAAATAATTTTATTATTTTGTATTAACATTTTAGTATTTTTCCTTACTAATATGAGAATTTTGCGTAGTTGCCAGACAATAGAAATTTTTTAAAGGCCTCCATAGAATTTTCAATAAACGAAACTGCCAAAAGTGAAACAGAAACAATGCAATGATGCAGAGAGAATATTTAGATTTTAAAGTGCAGCTACAAACGAATTCTCGTTCTCTAACGACAACTTCTTCATTAGTCGAGTATAATTACATAATGATATTTTGTTATATACATATATATATATATAACTCAAGATTTCCTATAAATGTTTAGGGTGTGGGTAGTAGCAACGACACTTTGTATTATAGCACAAGATACACACACAAATATACGCGCACACACACACACAATACTACTATTTCGAGTGTTATTTAGGACTTCAGCTCGCCTTTAAAATTGAAAACTGCCTTACCTTTCCAACACACACACACACACGAAACGAACAATGCACCCATAAGAATACTCTTTAGCAGTACGTAAACTTGCAATGGAACAGCGTATAGCCACAGCAGACATAAATATAAACACAAGACAATATCTCAACGATTGTCTTACATAGTTTATATAGAAGATCAAAAGTCTTACACACACACACACACACAGAGAGAAAGAGATCGATCACAAATAAAATGATGCTCAAGGTTAGAAGCTGCTCCTAAATCAAAATAATAACAATAAAAGAAATGAAAAAATAGAAAAACTGCCACTGAGGCGTTCATAGCGCACAAAAGATTAATGAATAGGAGAAGAAACGTATATAAGGTTTGTTTTAATTTTAAATGCAAAACAACGACTAATGGAGGATTTGAACTATGACTATGACTATAACTCTACTTACTACATACTACCACAACTACTATGATTAACCAATTATTTTTGTAGTTTTTTAGTCAATTAATATTAAATTGTTGTGATTGTTTTAAAATGCAAATGAAATACTTCCACTAACTAACTAAATAGTACAGCAAGTACTTAAAAAAAAAGGCAACGAATCGGCGAGCTTTCTTCCCCCGCAGCCAGCCAAGCGCAGAGCGCAGCTGTTAACGCGCTTGAAGCTATGCAGCGAATTTTTCGCTTCTCGCGCCGGTTCACAGTGCGCCACTGTTGCTTGGGGGCATGCGGGCTGTCGCCGCAATATTTTAATTATTCAAAATGAAGTTTTGAATTAATATTATTAAACATAAACAAAATGTATAGTCACTACTTTAAGCCGAACACTTTTTTTTCATAGTGGAAATACTATGAAAACTCGCACACACATACACACCAACACACACAGACAGAAAGAGACCAATTGTAAATAATACAACAACACAGGCAAACGAAACAAAAAAATCTATGATATTTTTAGTAGCGCATATTTTGTGTATAGGTTTCTAAACATTCTGCAATAGTAATATGCCAGGAAGGAAATAAAATTATTTTCTAATTACAAGTAAAGCAAGACATTTAAAACTCTGACAACATTTTGCTCACAATTAACATGAAAAAACTCTTATTTTTTCTTTAAAAACAAAAGCCGTTTAACAAAACTTCCACAATATCAACTAGAATTAAGTTGAACAAACTTTTTGCACTGGCAGCAAATATTAATGAAGAAAAATGAAAAAAAAAAAATAATTGTAAAAAGAAGACAATAGTTAAATTGTAATTATAATAAATTGTATTTAAAACAAAATTTAAAAACATAATTGTAATCGCTTATTGTAAACTAATAAATATTAAATGAATATAAATAAAGTATATAAATATTGTTTTTCTAATATAGTTTAAACCGAGAAAATCCTTTATGAATACATAAACACTTATGTATAATTTATATTTAATTTAGTGCAACAAAAATATTCATCGTTCTACATTCAGTTTCATTATATGTATTATAATTACAGTTCAGACCGACGAATTGTGTTGATTTAGAGCTGTCCATCTGTCCGTACGTTGATCTCATAGCCTAGCATATCAAATTTGATTTTAGTTTTTAGCTATGGAGTATGTTTAAAATTTCAGATTCGACGCAGTTCAACGTATTCCCTAATAGGCCGTTATCACCTAGAGCTTTTTTAATAGTTATTAATGCAATTATAGCGTTACTCTTCTTAAGAATCAACTAGAAATTCTCTATGGAAATATCTAATGATTTTCATTATTCAAATCAAGGGTATAGTCACTCAGTTAATAATTATTTACATTCGAATCTTACAAAATCCAGTTTTGTTCATGAATCTGGTGATATGATTAACATTTATACATTTATTATTATTATATTATTTGATAATCAAATAAAAAATGCCTTTTCATATTCCTGCTTGCCGTGACATACGCCGCTGCAAATCAATTCCCCGTCATTGTTATTAATCAGCTTATCATAGCGTCTGTCGCTAAGTGATAAAAAAAATGCAATTATCTAAAGCTGATCGCAAAAACGGAAGCTAGAATGAAACAAGAATCAATTTTGGCTGTTTGAAAATTTTAGCTTCTTCTTCATTGTCGCATGAAAAAAAAAAAAAAAAAAAATCATGAAACCATTTGGAGGATAAACCTTATATTAGTTGCATTTCAGTTGAGTTCTTGTTATACCTTGTTGAGCATGGCCGAAAGGGTATATTATGTATGGAGAAGCTTAAGTAATTGAGCAAAAGTGGCAGAGTGACAGAAAAAATGCTAGGAATAATATAGCATTATTGTCCTACTGATATTTTCTGTAGAAATTTAAATTTTAAAAACTACAATGAATTACTTTACACCAAAACTATTGCCTCCAGGGTATATCACAGTCTATCAACGTAAGTGCCTGTGTTTATTGTGATTGTTGCGGCCTACTATCTGATGCCGCGCCGGAAAGCATAAACGAGCGTACGACAAAAACCAAAATCGAAAACCGCAAATGCTCGCACGCTTGCTCACGGCGCCGGGGTGAGCGAACGAGAGAGCAAAGCGGACGAGCAGACGAGCGGACAAGCGGACAAATGGACGATCGGCTGAGCGTGAGCCGTGAGCTCGTGAGCCGTGAGTCGTTGGCGTCCAAGCTCAAGTGTAAACGATATTCGCGAACGTGGATCAGTTGACATTTGACAGCGCGCGTGTTTGCACGTTTTTAACGGCAGCTCGGCGGTCGCATAGTATATGGCGGCATTATAGCTCAACGATTGGATAGACGTGGCGAGGCGACGCGCCGCTGTCGTACATAAATCGTGAATGCGAGAAACGTTTGGCACACAAATGCGTGTTTCAAGAACTGTTTAAAACTGCTTAAATTCCAATTGGAGCACACGCATCGCGTATACGCAGCGTTATCTGCGCGTTTCGGGTAATTGATTATAATAATATCGTGCCAAGTGCTGATTATGTTATTAAGATTATGAATTATGATTAAAATGGAAATAAAGCTGGTCGGGCCTATTGTAGTGCACATTAATACAGCATGAATGTGATTTGAGTGGAGTCGATTGCAAATAATATCTAATTGAAATAAGAATCATATGTGACACAAAAAATCACTGCGAAGCGTTTACTAAATTACCATACAACAAAAAATAAATGAATAATATTAATTTAATATTATTGTCATTATTGGTGTTCATTATAAGCGTTTGTTATTTTTGCTGATTTGTTTGCGAAATGGTTTGCTTATGACTCGGGCCAAATCAATGCTAAAAAGTGAAAAAAAAAAAACAAATTTAAATATTTTACTTTATTGTTACCTTTATTGCTTATAAACCACAACAGCAGTTTAGAAAACACACAACAAATTTATTTATAGGAAATCACTTTACGTTGTTTAATGGCAAATCTATAATTTTGTTTGTATTTTTTCCTTGAGTTTTGCTATGTATGGACTCTGGTTTCATTAACACGACAGTTGTGTGTTTAAATCGAACTATTTAATATATGTATGTATATATTGGATTGCATTTTTGTATACCGGGAACATCATATAAATGCAAACATTTAGCCGGTGATGATTATCGCAATATTCCAAATATTTAAAGATAAAAGTTCAAATTGAATCAGATAAGAGATTAGATAACAGAATTCTAGACAGAAAAGTGCATTTCCTACATTTATTTCTTGTCTTAGCGTGAGAGAATATCAAATTTAGTATGGGACCTCTAAAATATCGAGCTCGACTAACAGATACCTTGAAGCTCGTGATTTATTTTAAACAGATTTGTTAGCAAATTTGGAATGGCTTATTAAGAGAGAAATTAAGAGAGTATACTTTAGATGTTGTTTTTGCTTTACACCAAATTTGCTAGCTCTACGTTTTAAGACATTTCAAGCATGCCAAAATAGCTGTAGTGGGAGAATAAATTAAGCGAATTTATGGAAAGGGAAAAAACTATAAATTATTATAAAATATTATATTAAATAAACAAACTATAGCTAAGTTTGCCCACTTGTAAAATTTCCAGTTTGGAGCTCGAATTGCGCATTGTCGAATGGAAAAGAGTAAATTGACTCAGATTAAGGATAATTATTCTTTTTTAGATCCTGTTACATGTTAATACACTTAGGTATAGTACAAATTTATCTAGCCAAAGTTTTTATTTCAAATTGCTTGAGGTTATTGATAAAATAAAAAGTAAACTGAAAAAAATTAAAAAAAAAAAAATTATAAATCGCGTAATAAAAAACAAATTAAGTTAAGGCACAATATTTGAAAATAGCAACACAAATTTCAGAGCTTAGCTCATGAATAGAGCATTACTGAGCTGCGCTCATAGTAAAGCGTATAAATAAAATTTACATATCACATGGTCGGGCATTGGGGCTGTTCTATTACAACGAAGCCCCATAAAGTGACATGTGCAATGCATACGAGTTGTCGGTTGTCTGTAGTCGATAGCAGCAATAGTAGTAGTAGTAGCAGCAGTAATATATCGCTATAAGATGCGTAATTAATAATTCTGAACCCATTTCAATGACCTTTGCGCCCGCTCAAAGAGTCAGTGGAGCAAAGCGCCATACGCATTGATCATCGCATAGATTATGACGTGCGGCTGGAATTTATCAGTGAGGGGAGTGGGGCCTTGACCAGAAAGCAAACCCCAGACACTCGTATTCACAAATAAAAGCCAACAATGCATTGTGAAGGGGGTGGGGGTAACCTTTATCACAGCTCGATAAGATACAGTTATGCAAGTGAAGTGCGAGCCTTGTTGGCGATCTGAAGTGTGAGAGCCACTCTGTCAGTCAGTCAGTCAGATAGGAGTGTTTATCTCCATGTCACAATGATAAAATATAAAAGAAAACAAAACTGGAACAAGATACACTGCACATGTGCTTGTTTATTTATATAAATATTCAAAAGTAAATATCATGAAAATAATATTTGCCTAATTGCCGAGAGGACTGAAGGGAAAAGGTGATGCGCATGATTAATTATGAGTGTAAAATTTTGCAGGTGTTTCGCAAATTAGGTAATACAAATAAAGTTTAGAAAATATATGAATACATATGTATTATTTCAAAGCTTACCCAAAATGTATGATAATCTAATATGTTAGACTTAAAACTAAATATTTTCATCACTTAATAAAATTAGAAAGTTATTGTCAACACCTAATTTTTATACACAAAAAAAAAATTTTTTTTTTAATTTTTATTTTTGTTTTTTTTCATAAATAATTTATGAAAATTTTTCTAAATTGCTTTCTCGACTAATTTTTATGCATATGTGTTTTTTTATTTTTTTTATTTTTTTGTTTCGTTTATCTTTGGAATTTTCTATGAACAGCTGCAACTATTTTAAATGCTGAAGTAATTCAAATAATAAATAAGATTAATGAATTTCGACAAGGGAAGCCCCTTAAATTTAAAAAGACTTAAAATGTTTTCATTCTAAAAATAATTTGTTGTGCGCATAGATCAACTAAAATAATCTATCTATTAAAAATCAATATACATTTTAATAGATTTTAAAATTTAGAAGCTTTATTTTTCTCAAAGCTGAGAAAGCGGAAGTTGCTTATATACAACTATGACATTAATTAAGATTTCGAATCTAAGGGAATATATCTTAGCTTATCTCGCTGACTTTTATATTTAAAGAGTGGTGTATAAAGAAAATAAAATCTAATTCTAAACTAAAAGTTCCATTCAAGTTGATTATATAGAAGAATGGAATTAAACAAAGAGAAATCGCGTCTCTTGGTTTTCTCTTTATTTTATTTTATTGTGATTTAAAAGCATTAGAGCACACGCACAGAGCCAGACACAAACACAGCGAGAATAAGCATAATAATAATGGCATTGTGTTGTTCAAGGTTTTAATGTGATTTAAAAATATGACAACCGCAACAGCAACAACAACAACGAGCTTTATCAACAACAAGCTGTGCGGCACCAGCTACAAATTATGAGCATTAAAATGATAAATAGACACACGAAAGCATCAGCCACAGCAGCCCGAACAAACAAGTGCAAGTCGGAAGCAACATAGGAGAAACATGATTTTATGATCCCAAAAGCAACAACAACAACAACAGCAAGAGAAATAGCAACAGCAGCAAAAACACTTTGCAAAAATGGCAGATCAAGATGCAAGCAGCGCCCCGAAGGGCGATCGCCATACTTTGGCTAAGACAGCCTCCTCGCCCACTGCCCTGAATCTGGTAACCAAGCGCAACCCGCCCACAGCGCTGGCGCCGCTACGGCTCAGCCAGCTGTCGGACAGCGGCGCGGAGAGCTGCGGGGATGGTGACGAGCAGACGCGACTCATACGCGGCCCATCCGTGCGAGCACCCAAGTACATCATTATACCAGCCACGCCCGGGACGCCGGTCAGCTCCACTGCGGGGGCGCCGCACTTGCCATTCCGGCAGACCAACTCCACGACATCGCTGGTGGCCATGTCGGCGGCCATGCACAAGCAGCCGCTACGCCAACCCTCGGTGAAGTCGCGGCCCAGCTCGGATGTGATTCAGCCGGCACAGCTGCAGCAGCAAATACAACTGCAGCAGCAGCAGCCAACGGCATCCACTTCTACGGTTACCTTTACCATAGATGACTATGACACGGCAGCAGCTCCCACCGCCGCACCACCCATACCAGTGGTGCAGTATACGCCCGCAACACTAACCAGCACCACCACCACCACAATGGCTGGCCTGGATGGACTGGCCGTCTCAGCTCAGCCGCTCAGCTACGATGTGCGCTCGCGCTTGGGCAGCCATCACAGCAGCATGAGGTCTGTAGTATCAGGTGAGTTGAGACTTGATGACGCCCATTGAGGATGCGTAGTGTTACTTTTGCTTGCATGCCACGCCCATAGCTTACCTGCCCGGCCTGAGCGACAGCAGCTGCAATCTCGCCAGCAGCTCGGCCGCAACAGGCGGACTGCAGCCACCCAATCCGCTCTACATGCAGCCGCAGTCCTCGCTCAGCGGCAGTTCCTATCACTTCCACGAGCTAGCCGGCAATCAGATCTACTCGGATGTCACATCGGTCCGCTCGCTGGCCTCCATTGGCATTGGCTCCACAGATGGACGCAAGCTAGTTATACGTCGTGTGCCAACCACAGCGAATGAGCTCTTCGATATGGTCAATCCACAGACGCCGCCGTAAGTTAAAACGAGATAAGTGTGAATGGAGAAGCTACTTAGAGTTTAGGATATTTAGTGAGATGAGAGACTTGTTAAAAAAGCTATCGAGATTTTCTTTATTGATAAATGAAGGATATATATCCCTATATAGCTAAGTCATCTACTTTGGCAAGTTAAATTAGTTTAAATCGATTTGTTGTATGTACCCCAGATAGGATAATCAACAAAGATTTTTCAAGAGAATTTGAGTATTCCTCAGATTCCATGTCGTTGACCTGATCTGATCTCTGTGCACTGCGAATTATGTCGTTAACAGATTTCTGTGCATTCCATAGTCTTACTAATTCAATTTGATTTAAGTTTAACTAGATTGCACGACATTAAGCAGAATCCATCCTTTACTCTAGCTGCCCCATCATCAAGACGGATTTATGCTAGCATTTCAATATACCTAACCAACAATTGCTCCATTCTCTTTATTTAAGTGATCATTTAAGTCAGATTTGATCTTTTTTCACATACTATATAATCATATAGACAGCATACATTAGCGATTCAAAAACGCGCCCCTTGTCAAGCCAATTGACGGCCGCATAAAACACTTAAAATTCATTGCAAATTTTGGCACCATTTCACACCGAAGCATAAAAAGTAAATGTTCGCACACACACAAACAAATGTTAGTAAATAATGAAATTTTAACACCATCTCTGTATGGGGAGCACATGATGCCTTTGACACGAAACGTGAACATCGCTGGGAGCGATCGCAGCTATTTTTAAAGTAAATGTTCCTTAACGCGATCAATAGATCCACATAAGTAGCAAAGTACAACTGTTGACTCGATCAATTTACAAGTAGATCCGAGCACAAATAGTTCGATTCGCAAGATTAGCCCCAAGCTGGCAGCGAGAGGCGCCATTCAGTTAGTTGGCAACCCACGATCGGTGCAGTTGTTCCACAGCTTCCTCATCGCATCGAATCCTGCGCGAAGTGTTGAAAAAAGAAAGAATTTCAATCTACATGGATAACGTTTATCTAGTGTAAATTATTATCTCCCATATATCCTGAGAGATTCAATCTACTTCAGCGAGATGCCCCATCGCAACGATCTGGATGCGCAGTCATCCAAGCACTCGGAGCAGTCCTTTTTCCGCTACAATCGCGTGGCCAAAGTGTAAGCCCCTCATCTGCGCCTACCTCTTATGTAATATACGTGACGTGAATGGTGCCATTTGATTTTTTACCAAGTGCTTAATGGCTTTCAATTCGCATTTATATGGCCCATTATGATTGAATTGTGTTTGCTTTGCTCATTAGCGAAATGCCGCTGATTGAATATTAACGTTTATTTAATGGATAAGTGGCCTGCTCAAGCTCGACCCGAGACTACATCATTTATACAATTTATTTATGATCTCTGTGTGCATAATGTATTGCAGGCGGCACGTGTCAAAGACCGATTTTATTTTCTTGCACTTTTTTCTTGATAACGTTCGATACTTGTATTTATTTATGGAATCAGTTCGAGACTGAATCTGTTATAAATAAAATTGACATAAAATATGGAGCTGATGTCCATTTGAAATTGAGTGGATTGATTGGGTTTTGGCACAAATGTGACAAGTTAAGATACAAACGAAATACCGGGTACTGTCTGGACAGAATGTCAAAAACCCGATTCACTGATTCAAGTTGAAGATATGGAATTGGCTAGACTTTGAGGTTGAGGCCAACTTTATCTTTTTGTCTTAAAGAAAACCAATTTGACGAATTTGTAGAACTTGGCAATGATTGACATTGAAATTCCATTTTAGTAAGTGAGTCGATAGTAACATGCATGATAAGCCATTGAAAAAGGTCAATTATGACATACGTATAAGTATCCAAGATTTATTACTGTGGTATTATTATAATATATATTATGATAAGCCATTGAAAAAGGTCAAGTATGACATACGTATAAGTATATCCAAGATTTATTACTGTGGTATTATTATTTATTATATGTATATGAAATGAAAAGTTTCATTCAATATTTGAAGATCACAAATTGTTTTCAATTTTTCAATTTGCACAAAAACCTTACGCCTCAGCACTAGTGATGTCCCCCAATATATGTGTGAACAAACACACCCCCTAATCTGGGATCATGCAACAACAATGCACCGGCATTTGGCACCTCGTAGAGAGACTATTGTTGCATTTGGCATGTGATTACTACAATTAAACCATTTGACACACCAGAAATACTAGCTGTGGGGTCGTGTGGTTGGTGTCGCGGCGATGGTCATGTAATCAGTGCAATAGTCTGGGCTCCGGGTGCCGCATTACAGAGGGCGAGTGTTGACAACAATTAGATGCGCCTGGCTGGCCAGCATGCAAATGACTAGGAAAAGCGAAAAATCATATATAGATAGATAGATGCGCCCAATATATGCCCATATGCCTATATGCCTGTCTGTTAAACAATAATCGAGCATATTCCCTGCATTTACAGGCCGCTCGGCATCGATGACGATGACAGCTTCATGGATATGTCGGACGAGGCGGCCATCTTGAAGCCGCGCCAACAGCACTGGGCCAACAAGATGCAGTTCGTCCTGGCCTGCATTGGCTACTCGGTGGGTCTGGGCAATGTCTGGCGATTTCCGTACATGTGCTACAAAAGTGGAGGCGGTAAGTGAAAATCATATGAAATATTTGAAAGAGGAGCTTTTCATATATGTAGTTCGTTTATAGAATTGTTTTTTTTTTTTTTTTTTTTTTTTTTGTGTATACTGTAGTTGCATTTATTGACATAAAATAATACATTTGTCAACATTTAGAATTCAATATTAAAAGTCCCAGTAAAATAGAACCTCAAAGAAGAATAAGAAGAACATACGAAAAGTTTCGGCATAAACTTTGATTCTATGTGACATCTTCGGAGGTATTCGGCTGTATTTTTTTTTTTTTTTTTTTTTT